TTTTGTTTTAAAGGGGTGTTATAGGTCAGCAGCATTCAGTTTTGTGCACTTTTAGAGTGGAAAATGGAGACTCCTCGATAGGGCCTTAATTGACAGCTAATTAGTGGACCGAATTGGCCCCCTCCAAAATTTGATCTTCCCATTAGATGGATGAAATGGATTATGCAATAAAAATTCAAATTTATAAAACTATGTGGGGTACATTTTGTTTTAAAGGGGTGTTATAGGTCAAAGCATTCAGTTTTGTGCACTATTAGAGTGGAAAATGGAGACTCCTCGATAGGGCCTTAATTGACAGCTAATTAGTGGACCGAATTGGCCCCCTCCAAAATTTGATCTTCCCAGTAGATGGATGAAATGGATTATGCAATAAAAATTCAAATTTATAAAACTATGTGGGGTACATTTTGTTTTAAAGGGGTGTTATAGGTCAGCAGCATTCAGTTTTGTGCACTTTTAGAGTGGAAAATGGAGACTCCTCGATAGGGCCTTAATTGACAGCTAATTAGTGGACCGAATTGGCCCCCTCCAAAATTTGATCTTCCCAGTAGATGGATGAAATGGATTATGCAATAAAAATTCAAATTTATAAAATTATGTGGGGTACATTTTGTTTTAAAGGGGTGTTATAGGTCAGCAGCATTCAGTTTTGTGCACTTTTAGAGTGGAAAATGGAGACTCCTCGATAGGGCCTTAATTGACAGCTAATTAGTGGACCGAATTGGCCCCCTCCAAAATTTGATCTTTCCATTAGATGGATGAAATGGATTATGCAATAAAAATTCAAATTTATAAAACTATGTGGGGTACATTTTGTTTTAAAGGTGTGTTATAGGTCAGCAGCATTCAGTTTTGTGCACTTTCAGAGTGGAAAATGGAGACTCCTCGATAGGGCCTTAATTGACAGCTAATTAGTGGACCGAATTGGCCCCCTCCAAAATGTGATCTTCCCAGTAGATGGATCAAATGGATTATGCAATAAAAATTCAAATTTATAAAACCATGTGGGGTACATTTTGTTTTAAATGGGTGTTATAGGTCAAAGCATTCAGTTTTGTGCACTTTTAGAGTGGAAAATGGAGACTCATCGATAGGGCCTTAATTGACAGCTAATTAGTGGACCGAATTGGCCCCCTCCAAAATTTGATCTTCCCATTAGATGGATCAAATGGATTATGCAATAAAAATTCAAATTTATAAAACTATGTGGGGTACATTTTGTTTTAAAGGGGTGTTATAGGTCAAAGCATTCAGTTTTGTGCACTTTTAGAGTGGAAAATGGAGACTCCTCGATGGGGCCTTAATTGACAGCTTATTAGTGGACCGAATTGGCCCCCTCCAAAATGTGATCTTCCCAGTAGATGGATCAAATGGATTATGCAATAAAAATTCAAATTTATAAAACTATGTGGGGTACATTTTGTTTTAAATGGGTGTTATAGGTCAAAGCATTCAGTTTTGTGCACTTTTAGAGTGGAAAATGGAGACTCCTCGATAGGGCCTTAATTGACAGCTAATTAGTGGACCGAATTGGCCCCCTCCAAAATTTGATCTTCCCAGTAGATGGATCAAATGGATTATGCAATAAAAATTCAAATTTATAAAACTATGTGGGGTACATTTTGTTTTAAAGGGGTGTTATAGGTCAGCAGCATTCAGTTTTGTGCACTTTTAGAGTGGAAAATGGAGACTCATCGATAGGGCCTTAATTGACAGCTAATTAGTGGACCGAATTGGCCCCCTCCAAAATTTGATCTTCCCATTAGATGGATCAAATGGATTATGCAATAAAAATTCAAATTTATAAAACTATGTGGGGTACATTTTGTTTTAAAGGGGTGTTATAGGTCAAAGCATTCAGTTTTGTGCACTTTTAGAGTGGAAAATGGAGACTCCTCGATAGGGCCTTAATTGACAGCTAATTAGTGGACCGAATTGGCCCCCTCCAAAATTTGATCTTCCCAGTAGATGGATCAAATGGATTATGCAATAAAAATTCAAATTTATAAAACTATGTGGGGTACATTTTGTTTTAAAGGGGTGTTATAGGTCAGCAGCATTCAGTTTTGTGCACTTTTAGAGTGGAAAATGGAGACTCCTCGATAGGGCCTTAATTGACAGCTAATTAGTGGACCGAATTGGCCCCCTCCAAAATTTGATCTTCCCAGTAGATGGATGAAATGGATTATGCAATAAAAATTCAAATTTATAAAACTATGTGGGGTACATTTTGTTTTAAAGGGGTGTTATAGGTCAAAGCATTCAGTTTTGTGCACTTTTAGAGTGGAAAATGGAGACTCCTCGATAGGGCCTTAATTGACAGCTAATTAGTGGACCGAATTGGCCCCCTCCAAAATTTGATCTTCCCAGTAGATGGATGAAATGGATTATGCAATAAAAATTCAAATTTATAAAACTATGTGGGGTACATTTTGTTTTAAAGGGGTGTTATAGGTCAGCAGCATTCAGTTTTGTGCACTTTTAGAGTGGAAAATGGAGACTCCTCGATAGGGCCTTAATTGACAGCTAATTAGTGGACCGAATTGGCCCCCTCCAAAATTTGATCTTCCCATTAGATGGATCAAATGGATTATGCAATAAAAATTCAAATTTATAAAACTATGTGGGGTACATTTTGTTTTAAATGGGTGTTATAGGTCAAAGCATTCAGTTTTGTGCACTTTTAGAGTGGAAAATGGAGACTCCTCGATAGGGCCTTAATTAACAGCTAATTAGTGGACCGAATTGGCCCCCTCCAAAATTTGATCATCCCAATAGATGGATTAAATGGATTATGCAATAAAAATTCAAATTTATAAAACTATGTGGGGTACATTTTGTTTTAAAGGGGTAATAGGTCAGCAGCATTCCCGTTTGTGCAGTTTTAGAGTGGAAAATGGAGACTCCTCGATAGGGCCTTAATTGACAGCTAATTCGTGGACCGAATTGGCCCCCTCCAAAATTTGATCTTCCCAGTAGATGGATGAAATGGATTATGCAATAAAAATTCAAATTTATAAAACTATGTGGGGTACATTTTGTTTTAAAGGGGTGTTATAGGTCAGCAGCATTCCCTTTTGTGCACTTTTAGAGTGGAAAATGGAGACTTTAGTGGACCGAATTGGCCCCCTCCCAAATTTGATCTTCCCATTAGATGAATCAAATGGATTATGCAATAAAAATTCAAATTTATAAAACTATGTGGGGTACATTTTGTTTTAAATGGGTGTTATAGGTCAAAGCATTCAGTTTTGTGCACTTTTAGAGTGGAAAATGGAGACTCCTCGATAGGGCCTTAATTAACAGCTAATTAGTGGACCGAATTGGCCCCCTCCAAAATTTGATCATCCCAATAGATGGATGAAATGGATTATGCAATAAAAATTCAAATTTATAAAACTATGTGGGGTACATTTTGTTTTAAAGGGGTAATAGGTCAGCAGCATTCCCGTTTGTGCAGTTTTAGAGTGGAAAATGGAGACTCCTCGATAGGGCCTTAATTGACAGCTAATTCGTGGACCGAATTGGCCCCCTCCAAAATTTGATCTTCCCAGTAGATGGATGAAATGGATTATGCAATAAAAATTCAAATTTATAAAACTATGTGGGGTACATTTTGTTTTAAAGGGGTGTTATAGGTCAGCAGCATTCCCTTTTGTGCACTTTTAGAGTGGAAAATGGAGACTTTAGTGGACCGAATTGGCCCCCTCCAAAATTTGATCTTCCCAGTAGATGGATGAAATGGATTATGCAATAAAAATTCAAATTTATAAAACTATGTGGGGTACATTTTGTTTTAAAGGGGTATTATAGGTCAAAGCATTCAGTTTTGTGCACTTTTAGAGTGGAAAATGGAGACTCCTCGATAGGGCCTTAATTGACAGCTAATTAGTGGACCGAATTGGCCCCCTCCAAAATTTGATCTTCCCAGTAGATGGATCAAATGGATTATGCAATAAAAATTCAAATTTATAAAACTATGTGGGGTACATTTTGTTTTAAAGGGGTGTTATAGGTCAGCAGCATTCAGTTTTGTGCACTTTTAGAGTGGAAAATGGAGACTCCTCGATAGGGCCTTAATTGACAGCTAATTAGTGGACCGAATTGGCCCTCTCCAAAATTTGATCTTCCCATTAGATGGATCAAATGGATTATGCAATAAAAATTCAAATTTATAAAACTATGTGGGGTACATTTTGTTTTAAATGGGTGTTTAGGTCAAAGCATTCAGTTTTGTGCACTTTTAGAGTGGAAAATGGAGACTCCTCGATAGGGCCTTAATTAACAGCTAATTAGTGGACCGAATTGGCCCCCTCCAAAATTTGATCATCCCAATAGATGGATCAAATGGATTATGCAATAAAAATTCAAATTTATAAAACTATGTGGGGTACATTTTGTTTTAAAGGGGTAATAGGTCAGCAGCATTCCCGTTTGTGCAGTTTTAGAGTGGAAAATGGAGACTCCTCATTAGGGCCTTAATTGACAGCTAATTAGTGGACCGAATTGGCCCCCTCCAAAATTTGATCTTCCCATTAGATGGATGAAATGGATTATGCAATAAAAATTCAAATTTATAAAACTATGTGGGGTACATTTTGTTTTAAAGGGGTGTTATAGGTCAGCAGCATTCCCTTTTGTGCACTTTTAGAGTGGAAAATGGAGACTCCTCGATAGGGCCTTAATTAACAGCTAATTAGTGGACCGAATTGGCCCCCTCTAAAATATGACGTGCCCAATAGAAGGTTCGGTTAGATGAAAGCATAAAAAGTAGTACATTTATTGTATAACTTTAACATTTCGTTGGGAAAGTCCAAGAAATCCTTTCATTACAAACAGAGAAGCAACCACCTTTTACTGTATGTGTTTGAGATTTTGATACCGCGGTTGAGAACGCGGCTAAGAACGCGGCTAAGAACGCGGCTAGGTTTTGGGCCTATAACGCGGCTAAGTTTAGTTTGGTACGTGCGCTTTATTATATACCTACTGCATGTCTAGTCCCCCACCTCAGCACATATTATTACTCATCAAGTAAACGCAAGATAAGGTCTCTGACTAGAGGTCAAAGGTCAACTAACAAATCATCATGTTGGTCCGGCAGATCTCGAAGCTTTTCAAAAGCCCTCTGAAATCCATTGAAATTGGTAAGATCAGGGGTTGAAAACGTAAAATTATTGAAAGTGAAGTATTCATTACTTTTTATTTTACCGAATAAGGAGCTTATGGGGAATTTTTCGTCGCACTTTGCCCGGCCTGAAACGTACCGCAGTTCACTAAATTTGTCACCGACTTCTGAGTTCACAGTGCAGGGAGGCATGGAACGATTGGGCGGGGCCGAGAGAGGGGGGGGTGCAAATAACTTGCGGGAGAAGGCAGTATCATGATGCTAGGCCTACTTTTTATGTAATATTAAGAAATGTAGTTACCTGACACACCACTTTCTTCATTGATATGTTCTAAAGGGAATTGTGAAAATTATAAACTTTTTTATTTTCGGAAGAAGACTGTCCACTTTTTTTTCTTAATCATTGTATATCATCTCAATAAAGGTTAGTTATTACAGTAGCAGAAATTTTGAAAAGACATGAATCTCGGACTGAGAAAAATTTCAAATTTTGTTAGGAAATACTTAGAAAATGTTCTTGACTCTTCATGGACTAAATGTACACAACCGCTTAAGTGGCGTCTGGATACTACATTCTTTCCTTATTTTCTAATCAAAATAATGGATTCTAAATTTGGGTTCCACTGTGGAATGGAAGAATCGTCATCCATGCGCGGATAATTAATAAGTTTTCTAAAATTTTTATGGTCCTACAGGCTACATTTGTTCATTGTTTTTTCCCAACATATAAACTGTCCATCATTGAGGACTGCATTGATTTATGCTTATTTTGTTTCATGTTGCTTTTTCTCGTCGGAAAGAAATCATTTTAAAAATCCAGTTTCATTTCCGTCCAAATATGAGTTTTATCATTAACTTCAGAGTTGAAGTATCTTCTTTACTCACTATACTGACTTCAGGTTTATGGTCAACGGCCTTAGAACAAGTCCGTCCGGCGTTGAGCCTATGTGGTGTGAGATGGGCATCAAAGAAGGCTGGCAGCAGCAAGAGGAACCATGGAGGCAAGAGCCCTGGCCAGAGACTGGGCCTCAAGAAGAATGAAGGTATGGTATGGCCATGTCTGAATCAATTGGATACAGCTGATATTAACATGCACAAGATGGAAGCCACTGGCTAGCGGCTGCGGCCACTGGCTTGCGGCTGCGGCCCCTGGCTAGCGGCTGCGGCCCCTGGCTAGCGGCTGCGGCCCCTGGCTAGCGGCTGCGGCCCCTGGCTAGCGGCTGCGGCCCCTGGCTAGCGGCTGCGGCCCCTGGCTAGCGGCTGCAGCCCCTGGCTAGCAGCTCTTTTTTGTCACTAGAGTCATTCTTTCACACAGCCTTTGCATAATTGATTGTTTTGTGATGAGATCGGGAATTTGATTTATTGATGCGATGTGATTTGTTTTCCAGGATGTTATGTGCAACCCGGTATGATTCTGGTCAGGCAGAAGATGGCATTCCGATGGTACCCTGGGAACTTTGTAAGTATTACATATACATGAAGATGTATATCCCAAGAACCCCCATCACCCTGAAACAAATCTACATTATAAGTTCCGACCCCCCCCCCCCCCTTTGTTTGTTTTTTTAAAAACAAAATTGCTAGATTATTAGGAATTCATTTCTGGCATCTACCCAACTTGTGTGATCATTTGTCAAAGTTTTGTGAAGTTAGATTTTTTGGCTAGAAATTAGTAATTTTGATGACCGCGGATATGAAAAACTTCTCAGATTTGGGCCATTTTGGGTAAAAAACTGAAATGTTTGTTTTGTGCCCGGATCCTGACTGTAGTGAGCTGAAATCTCTCGGGGATTTATTTCTGGCATCTACCCACCCTGTGTGAACATTTGACTTAGTTTCGTGAAGTTAGATTTTTGGGCCAGAAATTAGTATTTTTGATGACTGCGGATGTGGAAAACTTTTCAGATTTGGGCCGTTTCGGGTGAAACCTGAAATGTTTGTTTTCTCCCTGGATCCTTTGATACATGTATAAATTTATATTGCATACAGGGGATGTAAAAAGAAACGAAACCCAAATGTCGGGACGATTGTTTCAGTTAAGTTTTGCATGTAGCACCTTCAAAATCTAGGATATGAAAGCCCAATTCGTAAGCTTTCTTTTAGTACAAGAATCATTAAAAAAAAAAGGTAAGTGTTCTTTCAGCAAAACGAAAACAAATCACATAGGGATGTGTGTGAATTGTTTTCGTTTTCCTGAAAGAATGCACACAATTTTTGTGATCCGTGGACAGAACCTTGAACTGGAGGTTGTGTTTAAAATTCCGTAACTTGAAAAGTACATGAGTGATTTGAATGATTCTTGTACTAAAACAAAGCTTACGAAATGGACTTTGACATCCTAAATTTTGAAAGTGCTACATGCAGAACTTCACTCAAACAATAGTCCCAACATTTGGGTTTCGGTTTTTTTTTTACTCACCCTGGCCTGTATTTTAGTATACACAACACCATACTGATTTAAGCACCATGAAAAATATATAGAAAGGCAAGTTTTTGAAAATGTTTTAAAAAATGCAAGCATTTTAATTGTCTCTTTCTTCAGGTTACGACAGGGCGTGACAGGACCCTATCGGCCCAGGTGGCAGGTACCGTCTACTTCACCCAGGAGCGGTGGAACCCTAGACCAGACACGGAGTTTGGGAGATCCGTCGCCCCTACGCTGTCAGACGAGGCAATGACGAGGACATTTGTGAACGTCAGGCCAGAGCCGGAAGTGGGGAACTTCAAACTCAAGGAACAGATCTAACTTGGCTGTGGACGCTGTGGTTCGCTGTTATCGACTCTGTGGAGAAACACAAGATGACCCTTTGTGGTCGACCTCGAAAGGACTTTGAGGATTTGCACAGTGGTTCGCGCATGTGTTGCATGGAGTTTCTCACTACCCATGGTCATCCTGATGTGCACAGTGTCATAGCGTGTCTTCGCGTGGTCCACAAGGACACACATGAACAATGGAGCTGAAAGTCTTCCATCTCTCACATGTATTTCATTAATGGGTACTCTTGCCCATGAAGCCTATAAATACGAGACTTGATAAGCTGTTACAAATTGTTTGTTTTTTTGTTTAATTCAATTCTTATTTTAACTGGCCAGCCCATTCAGTGGCATCCACTGGCCTCCCATGGGGCCTAGTAAACAATAAAAAAAATAATATTGGCTTCTTGTGTTCACTCATGTCCGTCACGAAGTGAGGCTCCTGGCGCTCTTATTATTACCCTGGCTTTAGCACGGCTGCCATTACGGCGCTCAAGCATTGAAGGAATTTCTTCCTACCAGGTATCCATTTACTACACCTGGGTGGAGAGAGGCAATCGTAGTTAAGTGCCTTGCCCAAGCGCACAAGCACCATTCCCCCGTCAGGATTCGAACCCATGTACCACGGCACACGAGTCGAACACTGTAACCATTGGACCACAGCACCCCACTAAAGAGAAGACAGTGTGAAGAAATTCCTGTTTTAGATGTAGGAGGAACACCACAGAAGAATATTCTAAGGAAAACCCACGGAATGAAGTAGGGACTGAAAACCCAACCCACATGTTGGCCCAGGCAGGAATCGAACCCGGGTCACAGCTGTGGAAGGCAAGGAAAGTACCGCTGTGTTGCTGTTGGCACTGGTCATGTTGGTGTGATTGAATTTTCATGTGTTCCGTGTTGCAGGGCTCAGATTTTTTTGGGGTATTTTACCACATTTGTGAATTTCAAAAACGCCTAAATAAAAAGGGCCAGTACAATGTAGATACATGTATAATGTTTATAGCAAGGTTAAACATGACTTGTGTTGTGACATTTAACAAAATACACATGCAACTGTCTCGTTTTCAATGGAAAAACCTTTATTTACATACAATCACACATTTTCCACTCCAATCCTCAGACACGTGAATTATTACCAGGTTAGGAGAGCAGGCAGCTTTTTATCCAGAAAGTCAGAAACATTTCATTTTCGCTTTCATCCAATGCCAAATTCAAACCAGCATGACTCAATAGCGGAGAATACATTATCGCAAACTGTGAAATGCCCACTAATCATGACTAAAAATATTCTACATATCGGTGCAAAACTAAACCAGAGTTTTGAAATACATGTCTTTTTTTTAAGTAGCGCTCCTTTACAGAAAACTCTGCTACTATTTCCTGCATTGTTTATCGCATTTTTCAGTGAGTTGGCTCACAAGCATGTTCTGGAATGGGAAGAGCTTTTTACTTAATGCGTACACAGTATATATTGTACATGTTTGTGCCAACACCAATTCTGTGATTATTTTTTCAGCCTATGTATGCAAAATGTTTTGATATTGTTAGATTTACTTGTCTGCAAAACTGTCATATAAATTTACAAATGTACCTTCCAATTTCATATTTTAGGATTTTTGTTCAGTTAGGTTTTTTTTCCAGGTAAGTTACCTCGAATGCAAATAACAAAATATGTGGAAAAATTGTTGACTTCATTATGTGGACATTCTTTCGCTGTTTGTACACCTTGGAAGTACTAGTGGATTAAAATTTACCAATAAAAACCCCAAATCTTCGGTGGTTGTGACCGTTACTTAGTGTTTGCCTACACCACAATGCCCAAAATACTTGCTCTTGAATCAACTCAGCGACAACAGCTTCTCTCAGCAAGGTTACTTGATATCTAAAATTAAGTCTAGATCTTTATCCGTTTTATCCCTGATTGATTATAGGTAAACCCATTTCAGAAAAGCATCCGTGAAGGATAACTGATAGAAATCCAACATTATAACAATCGTAACGCAGGCAATTTAACAATTCCTTCACAAACTGATTAAAATTTTTGGCTAAAAAAGGTTACAAATTATTAACAGGAATTTCCTTAAAAGATTACATCACACCGGAATAAATACCAATCCAACTTCACAATGATTAAGTCGTTGTTTCTTTTGGTTAGATAAACAATACTGCATTTTCAAAAATATTTGCTGTACAATTTGGTAAAGAAACAAACTGGAGGCACTTGATTCGTTCAAATAAAAAAAAGAAATTAAAAAAGAGAACAATTTAATATGAGTAATGTTTTCTGTTCGCACCATTCTTAAAAACAAGAAAAGTGTTTGGGTTGCTTTTGCGTTAAAAAAAACCCACACAAACACGAAAAGATTTTGGGTTGGTTTTAGGTAAAAACATCCTAAGTATGTAGCCAATTTACACAAAAATACAAAAGGCAATTCATAAAAGCCTATTTTGATGAGCGAAACACTGCAAAACTTTAAGCTGCTCAAATTTTTTTTTACTGGAAATTTCAAAATACCATATATAACAAGTGTTAGAACCTTACAAGCAAGGAAAGTTTAAAGGTGGAGTAGGTCATTTGCAGCTATCCAAAAAGTAACTGACCAAATTATTTTTAAAAAGTATACTTGGTTTAAAGATAGTAATGGCATCAAACTCCCTGTGAAATTGTTCCTTCGGGCATGCTGCCACTTCAAAGAAAACAATAAAAAAAAGGTCATTTCCAAAGATGAGTCAAGTGACGCATTTTTGGAAATCTCCGTTAGTAGTTGGTTTGCAATGGGGCGAATGTGTGCGTTGCGTTGAAACAACGCACACGTGTACGCGGTTGCTATTATTCATTGGTTCGTGACATCGCATAGCTGTGATCAGCTGAATGAGAACGTGTTCAAAATACATGTATGGCTCGGCAACTTTCAAATTGATATCGAGATCCTAGAATATTGTATTCTCGGAATATGCAGCATTACACAGAGCTGAAACTTCATCAGGTTAGTTGTTAAGCACCCGTCTTTAGATTTTGAGCACTTTTGTTGCCTCAAAAAAAAACATTTCGCAAATGACAAATGAGCTACTCTACCTTAAAGTTTACAGCGACGAGTATGTCGAAAAATGCTTTTTATACAGAACAGTCGTGAAAATATCAAATTTTCTAGTTTTAGTGCAAAAATAGTCCTAATATTCATACGCTGAAACCCAACTACATATTTAGGAGCAACAAGAATGAAAATGTTAACAAATTATTGCTTGCTAATCGACTTATCAATTAGGCTCCGCCCCCTAAGGGCATGTACAAACAACACGATTAGGCATGCATATTATTTGGTAGTGACATCAGGGCTGTGATTGGTCAACACCTCAAGGGGCGGGGCTTAATGGATCAGTCCATTATATTGAAAAAGGAGTGACCAAAAAGCATGAACATCGAAAGTGATATTCAATTGCAACTCTTATTGCTACGCTTAACATATCTAAAATACATAAAGCATTGTAATATAAGAAATAAGTACAGAATACATAGAGCACATTGCAGTAACTAGAATTATAAGAATATTTCGGAAAACTATGAACAATTTATACAGATAACTCCTTGTCCCAAATCTATATTATACAAAATGCAGACATGTTTCATCACACAATTATTAAAATAAATGAATAATCTGTTATTTACAAAGGTGCTTTCGTTGCAAAAAAGAAGAAGAAATAACCCATATAATAAAATCATTAAAACCAAAAAAAAATATTACCGAAAATAAAAAAACAACTAGAGATTAATATTACCAACCAAAATACTTGGTACTTTGTAAGGCATATGACATGATACAACTGTTTTGAATTTGCAGTAAGTTATTTTGAAAGTTATCTGAAAAGAAGACGTTACCCAACAAAATTTAAACAAAAATTGGTTGTATTAAGTGATAAGTGTGTAGCTGATCAAATGTGGATGTTTGTGTTGACAATATGCTTTAAAAACTGGACAAACAATAGGAAGACACCTGGGGTTTCTTTTGTCTGGGAAGATACAGGCATGACAGGCGGGTATTAAATCACACAATGTATTGGAAGCTGAAAACATTAAAAACATAGTTAAAGGCCTTCAAAAATATACATCTTTAATGTGAGGTCTGTTCAATTTTCATCTATAACTATAAGACGTTCTCGTCAAGGTAAATGGGCCTTATGCAGGAGTTGGCCATTTTTGTCGAGTTCCCTGAATGTATTTCATAAATTGTTATCTGTTGAATGGAATGGCGCCAGACTATTTATGTAGCCTTATTTTACTGTCATTTTTTTTTTAATCTAGCTTGAAACATTATGGACTGTTTAGTTACAAGTTTTAAATTATTCATTGAAGCAGACTTGACTTAATTAATAATTTACTTGCTTTCATTTCTCTCCGCAAGATCCAAAAATGAAGATTTTACCTCACTGTTATTTCAATATGGCCGACTCACGAATAAGGCCCTTGGCAAGTTACAACCAAATCGGACCTATAGTTCTACAGATATAGGCCTTACAGAAATGCACCTTTAATATGACGTAACATGTCACATGACATTGATGATGTCATCATGACGTCACTTCAATCTTCATCTATAGCACATCCCGGTCTAGGTACATACCAAGTTTGAACCCACTCAGACATGTAGTTCTGTAAATATAGGCCTTCAAAATATGCACCTTTAATGTGACATCACATGACGTGATGACGTCATCATGACGCCACATCATCAGACGATGATTAATGACAACGCAAAGTTTAAAATAAATCGTATTTAAAAGAGTTCCCAAAGTGACTTGTACAAAAAAAGTGTACAAAACCTATGGGAAAAAAGTGCAAGAGGAATAAAAATGAAAGAAAAAAAAGAAATGAGACAGGCCTTGCAAAAGCTGCCTTGTATAATACGGTTAATATGGACACATATCTTATGGACATTTTATTTGATGTGTGCAAATGTGAGCCACATGAATGACAGCACCGGTAAACATGCGTAGAAAATAGCATTTAGTGCTGTGGCCTCGTGAAAATAGCACTGGAGTGCTTTGGCCTCGTGGTTAAGGGCACTGGATTCGTGGTCTGCGGGTAAAGCTGCAGGTTGTGGGTTCGAGTCCAGCCTGGGGTCATGTTGCGTGTGCCCTTGGGCAAGGCACTTTGTCACGCACTGCTTCTCCCCACCCAGGAGTAAATGGGTACCTGCGAGGGCAGAGATGGTTATTGTGGTTGATTTCAGCTGCTTTGCACCGAAAAGGCTGCGTCGAGCTGTATACTCCCCAGGGAGCTGAAATTGTCTTTCAAATGTTTTATTGGCCTAATGAAACAGGGTAATAATGATGTAGCGCCTTGAGCACCAGTCCTGGTGGATACGTGCGCTTTATAAACACCCACTATTATTATCAGTTTTATGGAAATTGAAACAGTATAAATTAAAAATTTGACAAAACTTAACGTTGCTATAAGCCAATAGACCCGAGACGTACATGCAATGACGTAATGGCTTTGTTTACATATGTGCTTTCCTATGGGAACGAAGTCGGGACGCCAGACAAAGCGGGGACCGTCTACTACATAGGAAAGCGCACATGTAAACAAAGCGTGGCGTCATCACGTCTTAGGCCTATTAACAGATGCCAATGTTTTGAATTTTGTTTTTAGGATTGAGTAGAGAAGGGGTGGGCGTCCATGGGGCCGCCTCCTGACCAGGCCTGGGAGGGGTGCTTCGGGGGGTGAGTCTTCTGGCTCTTCTGGGGTAGGATGTGGCGCTTCTTGTGCCCCTTGGTGTTGGGTTCCAACTCGTGGAGACGGGTCAGCAGAAAGTGCTTGTCGCGTCCCTCCTGGATTGTGGGAAAGAAATGTTGTAACAATGGCCTGACCTCATGACATGTTTACATGGTACACGTAGAGGCATAGAATTCAATTCAACTCAGTTGACATTTATTTAGCACTCTCCAATAAACCAATTCAAAGTTGGATAATATAAGTATAATACAGTGATATTTAAATAAACTAGTACAAATGTGAAGGTAATTACCACCAGAAAAAAATAATGCTTTGAATCTAATTGTTTAAATTAAGATTAATAGCAAGCGAAGTTGAGAACAGAGTAGTAGAGGAGATTACATGGCTGTTCACATACGCCAAGGCTTGTGGGTGGAACAGCCTGGACAGACTATACAATGTAATCACAAGAACAAAAAGACAGACACGATCTGACACACAAACAAAAGACAAACAAAACCAACAAAAGTCATATTATAAACCAAGCTGATGCAAGATTAAAGGGAAAAATGCACAAAGATAACAATGAAAATGAAAGAAAAACTAAAAAAATTGAACATTGAAAGGAAAAAAATTCAAATAAATAGAAAACAAGCAAACTGTAAAGTAGCAAACTGTAACAAAATATTTTCAATTTCAGGGAAAACAAAGATGTGAAATATTTCTTACTCCGTAAGACACTTTTTAAAAATAATTTTCTGAGTGTACAAATGTCACAGACAGACACAGCACAGATAGATTATAACTTTTTTTCTGTTCTTTTTAGAAGATTTTTCTAAGGTGTTTTTTGTTACATGCGATTCATGTACAGATGCATTAGTATCAAAAATTGTGAAATTGCGATCGGTCTGCTGGACTCTTGGCTACGTGACAGGTACCAGTGAACGTTGTCAACTCACCATAATAAGCTGCTCTTTCAGCCGGTTCACGAGCTCATTGTGGGCAGAGGCGATGGCGTGGTAGTAGTACAGTATCAGTCTGCATCGAAAACAATTAATAAATGGATACGTGTAAATAAAAAGGACAAACATTTTCCAGTGTAAAGCAGAGCTTTTATCAGACAAATTAACCAGTTTGCGTCGGAGGACGTGATAACATGCACTGGCTGTGTTTATACATAGGCACGGCTGACGGGTTAAGACGTCAAGATTGCCTCGACTCGCCTCCGGGTGACGTCTAAACACGCTAATCCCTCGTGCCTTTTGTACACACGCACAAAGTCCGTGAAGGTTGTGGAGGTGGATCGTGTGTTGATCTTGAATTGGACGTTGTGCATACACAGCCTACTGTTGTCAATTTACGCTAAAGCGCACACCCCAGAGTTTTGAAACATAATGAGGTTTTTGCAAGAAATATCGTGCAAATACTGTTGAACTGACTCTTGCGAATCAGTATTTGTGGCGTTTAGCTGTATATCAGAAGTTGGCTTGAAAATTTAGCCTTTTGCGAAAAATTGAAACTTTTGGCAAAAATAATCCCCGCGCAAAGTGGTTACACCCTGCCGGTGAGAAAATGCCAATTAAATCTGGTGTTTCTGCATCGCATTAGAAATTTAGAACCCCCTAGACATTTGAAAAAAAAAAAGTTTTTGATTTTTTTTTTCATTTGATGTTCTGGTTGTTGAACAAAGCAAAACCTGTCATGGAATGTGCTCACCTCAGATTTTATATGGTATCATTAAAGCTATAGTCCATCATTTGTAATTTGTGCATTTTGTTCGTTTGAAGCAACAAAAGAGTTCAAAATCTAATAAAGGATACTAAGCAACTAACCTGATAAAGTTTCAGCTAAGCTTCAGCTGTACATTTCGAGAAAAACAGCATTCTAAGATCTCAATTTCAAATCAAAAGTTACTGAATCATGTTTTGAATTGCAGCTATACGCGACGTCGGGCACTGATCCGACGAATTATAACAACCGCGCGCGCGTGTGCGTCGTTCCAATACTTGCGCGCGCTGCGCTGAATAACAAAACGAACTACTAATTTAAATTTTCCTACGGTGCTTCTTAAGAATCACCGTTGGAAATGCCTTCTTTCGTTGATTACTTCAAAATGACAGCTTCCCAGAAAGAATAATTTCACAGGGAGTTTAGTTCCCTTACTATCTTTCAACTAAGTTTGTTTTTCAACAATAATTACGCCAGTTACTTTTTCGGATGGCTGCAAATGATGGACTGTAGCTTTAAACCAAATATGAACATTTTCATCATGTCAACGATTTGTACAGGTCGCATTACATTGTGTATGGAGCCTATGGGCCATGTGCTCTGTGACGGCATGCTGTCAGTCCACCACTTGGGTTGACTGAGCTTCAAAGCTTGATTTGAAGACAACACTATTTGAAAACACTTCTCTAGACACGTGGACAACAGTGATTTGGGTGACCTGTATTCAAATCAGCATAATAACACTATTCTTGCAATTTTTTCAACGATTTTTTTTCACCACGAATGGTCGAAGAGCTAAACTTCAGTACATTATTAAAAAAAAAACAGTTCAAATAAGTTAATTAGGTTAAAATTCCTGTCAAAAGTTGGTTTCCTTCTTTTTGCACCGCTGATGCATGCACAACAGAAGAGAACCATTCGTAAAAGTTGGCATCAAGTGATCGCAATTTCCAATTTCGTAAACAAATTCCACATGATCTACATGCTCTCAACGTGATTTCATATCATACAATTATATCAGCATCAATGCCTTGCCTAATAACCAAACCACTCTCCAAATATAAACCCCATATCCACACTCAAGATTCCATCAAATTAGACATCTGGCTGTGGGAGGAACAGCTAATCTTTCAAGAGCAGCAACACACATTTTAAGGGGAAGACTGCACACAGCAGTGCTGTCTCATCCCCTCTGCCCCCTCCCTCTGCTGAATCAGTACTTACAGGAGGACGACGATACACGGCACCACAAAGGCCGCCGAGCCGATGAACTTGAAGACTTCCTCGAAGAAGTTGTTGAACTGCTCAATGGTTGTAGTGATGACGGCCCACATGGTGACTTGACCACGGAATGGGCCACATCCACGCGATGGCTCAATACTGTAAGGATACAAGAAAAAGATCCCAGAGTGAACACTCATTTGGTTATCTGGAGTACAATATGCAGATGGACAATTCCACGGTTACTCACATTACATTTCGTAACGTGAGTAACCGATTTTGTGCGTCTTGTTTATCATACACAACACATATTTCTGGATGTCATCTTTGGTGCTTAGGTAGGTCTAGGTCTACTCTATCTACCATGGGGATATCAGTTATTAAACCTTTTCAGTAAGGTAATTACAGCCCAAGGAAACTGAAAAGTACATCAAAAATGTAACGTGAGTAACCGTGGAATTGCCCAGATGAAGGTTCGTGCAATTAAACACAAACCAATTTTCACAGTGTCTGGGGAAACAACTATGCCCAGTGACTATTTATAACAAGGGTTAAAAGGAATATGCAACATTTGCAAACATCAAAAAACAAAACTAGCAAAATATCACGAAATACCTTGCTGGACTGTTAGTGAAGACGGTCTAATACATCCTGTAAAATCATGGCACCTGGTGTGCTGTCATTTTCAAGAAGAGTGGTATTTTTTGGTACCAATTTCCAATACTGGTCCGCCAACCAGCATTGGAAAAAGGCTTCTTTTTTTTTCAAATGCTACCCCCAATTTAACATATCTAATTAGTCCGCATTTTGTTTGCAATCAATTACATGAACGGGTACAAGTTAGCTAGACTAGTTTCCCAACCTTACAATTTCCTGACATCTATAAATTACTCTGTTTCATCTCAAGTGGGGTCAAGACACCAGGAACATGATTGTTTTTCTTGGTTTTAGCAGCATCTAAGAACACAAAACTTCAAACAAGTCAGTGTAATGATATTTGCTGAAAAATACTAAACCCCCCCCCTAAATCCATCCATTTCTTAAAATTACAGTAAAAGCAAATGTTGTTTATTCCCTTCAAATCTTTTAAAAAAAAAATGTTCATTGGTAACTCACGCTCCAATGGAGTATCCAACAGGTATGATGCAGCCCATGAACGTAATCAGCAGAATGACCATGAAGAAGATGCCAGAACGTGACGCACGGAATGGTCGGGATGACGGCACCATGTTGTACAGCAAACTCCACTTCTTCAGGTAGAAGAAGACGAGGCACTTGACCAGACTGATAGCTGGCAAGAACGGGCAGTAGAACGATCCAATCCTTAACAAAAAAAAGTACTCGGATATCAATATTTTTCTTCCAAGTCCGACATTTACACTTTTAGACAAGAGCAAAATTCAGACTGTCAGCATAACTAAGTCCATCTAAATAAGGTGTTTCACGGTAATACGCACCATCTTGCCTGCGGGACATTTTTACGGGCGTTGCTGTGTACGCACAGTCAATGGAAAGCTTTGGCGCTTCCAAGTCATCATGCATTCATTCCAAAATGCACCCGCGTTTAGCAATGCGTGAACAAGATGGCGCATATTACCGTGAAACACCCTATTCAACAAACACTTTCTATTTTATTCAATTAAATGGAGCCCAAAATGAAAAAAAAATATAATACGAAAAGGCATCTATGAATTTAATTTTACAAAATTTTCAAGAAAACAAAACTCATTCCAACAATTTATTTGAATACATCTCTTTCTTTATATTGGTTTTGGACATCAATAAGGTGCAATGAGGTTGTAACTTCATTCTGCAACAAAGTCGTATCTTGCGCGGAAACGCTCGGTGCAACAAGGTCGTGTCTTGACGTCCATTGACTTTGTGTGTACATCTGGGTTATTTTAAGTGAGATACTAGCTTTCGACATTCTGAAACTCGCGTTTCACGTACGGCCCATTTTAGGAGATACAACCTTGTTGCATAGACATGAAGAGTTGTTGATGACATCCATTTCATTAACCCTTTCATTACCACATTGTTTATTGACTTGGCTCTCCCCATGACCAAATTGTTTGCTCAGTCATGTGGAAATCACTAGAGCATGAACAAAATGACCATAAGTCCAAAACTCACTTTTTTCAACCCAGATTTTCACTACCAAGGAGTCATTTAAATCATAGGTGTTGTGTGTAAAGTTTGTTCCTTGAACCTTACTCTTTTATGTGATGTAAAAATGAAGTCCATACGTGCAAATATAAGAAAGTTATGCCTTTTTCTTCATTTGGACCCATTTATCAAACTGCAAGCCATTTCACCACATGACCAAATGGCACTCCATACCTCAAATTGTGCGTGGATACTTCTGAAGCACTTTTCTCATTTTTTTGTAATGGTAACACTATGAATAAACTACACCATTAGAACGATCCGAAAACACTCTTTCAGCTGATATATGGTTGATGTATGGACGGCCAAACATATCAACATGCTGCCTTTCTGAAAAGTAGTAAATAATCTGTGTTGAGGGTGTTCTGTGTGTGGTTTCCTGGTCGACTAAAGTCGCCCATGGGAATCAGCAGGGGGGTTCTTCTTGTCGACAAAAGTCGCCCATGGTAAGGAAAGGGTTAAAGAAAAATGTTTGGACTTCTGAAAAGTGGAGGCGCAACAGGCACAAGAACTCACCAACACAGTGCCTGGGAGTAGACGATGGCCAGAACATTCTTGGGGATCTCGAACTCCATCTTGCCCAGGGTCTGGACTATGCCAAAGTGCAGATACTTGGCAGCAATTCTGGGGAAAAAAACAATCACGAAACAAAATGTTTTATACTGTCATCAAAATACCAAACAAAGGAACACCCAAGATAATAGTCTATTTTTCGACATGGGAATTTTTCGACATGGGAAAATACCAACACTTTCAAACCAGTGTTACTTCAAATGTGCACAATCCACCTGATCATTACAAACCAATTGTTCATCTTCGAGATAGATAATCAAAGTTGGTAAATCTGTCAGTTGGTGTGATGTTGGGATGTTTTACCGACTATTATGATAGATACAGATATGCAGATAGAGAATTAAGTCACTGATTTGTGTGACTCGACAGTCGAGTCATTTTAGAGAAGTGACTCGATTCGAGTCGAGTTATTCATTTATTTATTTATACAAGCCTTACTTAATTTTTCACTGGCAAAAATACTGCCCAGGTTATCATTTTATTTATAGAGTAGAGCCTGTCCAATTGTATTTCCCTTTTGGCAAAGATAGCCACAGAAACTTAATCTTTTTGGCAAAGTAAGCCACAGAAACTTAATCTTTTACGGAAAGTTAGCCACTGAAATTATTCAATTTATTATTCATTTAACTAATCTGGCAACCACTAAAATCCCATTGTATTGTATTGTATTGTGTTGTGTTGTATTGTGTTTGTAATGTATTGTATTTGTATACATGTTTGTAGTCATTTTGTTATTGTATGCAGGGCCCCAATGGAAACCAGTTTTGAACTGTTTGGGCATACCCTGGGTGAAGAAATGTAATAAATAAATAAATAAATAAAGAGTGACTCACTTGCGAGGGAATTCCCAGAGCAGCACCACCAGGACAACGGCTGCAAAGTCAGTGATGGAGAGTTTGTAGAATTCCTGGCCTATGTAGGTTTCCCAACACTGAAGGATTGCAATTAAAGGGAAAATACAACATTTGCAAACATCAAAAAATAAAACTACCAAATCATTTTGAAATACCTTGCTGGACTGTTAGTGAATGACAGTGTAAAGCATCCTGTAAAATCATGGCACCTGGTATACTGTCATTTTCAAGAAAAGTGGTATTTTTGTATCAATTTCCAACGCTGATCGGCCGATCAGCGTTGGAAAAAACTGGCTTTTTTCAAATACTGGCCCCCAGTTGACCATCACACTTGTTTGCAATCGATTACACACCTATGAATGGGTACAAGCCAGCTAGACTGGTTTCCTGACCTTACAATTCCCCAATATATATGTAAACTGCTCTGTTTCATCTCAAATGGAGTCAGGGAACCAGACTACAGGTAAATGATTGTTTTTCTTGGTTTTTATAGCATTTTCGAACCCCAAACCTCAAAAAAGTCAGTGTAACTATATTTGCTATATATTTCCAACCCCCCAATTCCATCCATTTCTGAAAATTACAGCAAAAGCAAATGATGTATATTCCCTTTAAATACAAAAAAAACGCACTTATTTGCAACCTTACATGAAAATGATATTAATCAGTCATTCGCAGCTTCACGTTTCAAGTATATTGCATACAATTTTACAACCATGAGAAGATACAGTAAACCACAACAGAACTTGGAATAGTATGGGGGCTGTGGTCCAATGGTTACGGTGTTCAACTCGTGTGCCGTGGTGCATGGGTTCGAATGCCTGACCCTGGGAACATAGTGCTTGTGCTCTTGAGCAAGGCACATTATTGCTTAGTCCTTCGGATGGGACGTAAAGCCGTAGGTCCTGTGTGTTGTGTAATGCCAGTTAAAGAACCCAGTAACGCTTATCGCTAAGAGAAGGGGTTTGCCCCGGTGTTTCTGGCAGTGGTTGCTCAATGCGCCGCAGCACCTTGTAAACCCTTATAAAGGCGCTACACAATGGGTCTCATATTTCTCATGTACTTCATTTACCTGTCTCTAATAATGGACATAATTTCCAGCGCTTTGAGTACCTAATTGTTGGTAGATACGTACGCTATATAAGACTCCAGTATTATTATTATATTACTACTGTATGAAGACCACAACTTCAGGGCTGCCTAGTATGAACAATAGCTTCCGATACAGTGTCAGATTATTTTTTGGGAATCAAAATTTGGAACAACATTCGAGGTGCCACACAGATAAGGTTGAAATTTAGACTCCTATAAAATCCAGTCTCTTTGGACTCTTAACCCTCCCGTTAATTCTGTCCACTAAGACATGCCCAATGCAGTGGGACGCCACTATACCGAACACCGCTATACCGAACATTTGGCTATACCAAACATCATCCTTGGCTCACGATTTTATGTACAAAACATATCGAACATCGTTGTTAAAAAAAAAGTCAACAGAATAACAAAAAACTCACTGGTTGTAATTGTACGCGTATTAAACACTGTTTGGGCCACTTTTAATTCCCGAACATCAAACCACCGATGGTTACATCGTGTTTGAATGTTTTGAAGAGCGATAGATGGCTATTATTTCCCAAACGAATAAAAGGGAAAACCACCCGTTGCTAAAGTTTTGTGACAACTCCTCGTGCGGCTGCGGGATGTGAGAAGTGCCAGTTCAGTGACTTCACTATTTGTCTAAAGAGGATACCGGCAGTTCCAAATCGCTATACCGAACGATCGTTATTACAAACACTTTCTTTGGATCCCACGATGTTCATTATAGCGGCATTCCACTAACATCCAATAAGTCTGCATTTCACAGAGTCCAAATTTCATGATACTTCAGCCCGGCTGACTTACTTTCAAGTCGCCGGCACTGCAGACTCCGCAGGTGTCTTCGGCCGTCTCACTGCAGGAGATCTGTGGGAAGAGGGAGAAGAACAAGACCCCCAAGGAGGCCAGACGAAGAAATACCGTCCTGGAAAAAAAAAGAAGAAACACAATTTCGGACGCGTGATGAAAACAAGACAGAGGAAGAAACATCTGAGATGTCTCAACCTTCGGTCCAGTACTGCTATCTGTGAGGACCCTCAATTTTGTCAAAATTTGTCAAGCAACCCACCAAGGGAACTGACAAGGTTTAGGGCTTCTGACTAGCACCCCTTGAACAAAGACATCAACAATGTGGAACCATCAACATAGGGCTGGATAGCTCAGTTGGTAGAGCACCGGAACGGCGAACCGCAGGTTGCAGGTTCAAACCCCGCTCCAGGCAATTAAGTCAAAAATTAGAAATGTGAAGGAAAAAAAGGCATGTAATCTATTGTTCCTAAGATGGAATATCTGCGTCGGGGTGCTGTAAATCAAATTAGGTGAAGGGCAAAACCTAATTTGATTTAATTTATTGTTTATATATTACGGTCATTTCAAAATCTAACACTCATTACTTGTCTTCAATGAAAATGCATCCTGATGGTTTTCTGGGATTTTGTAGGATTTAGGATGGCACAGCCCAGGCATAATTAGTTGACACTGGGCTTAAAGGCCCTTGAACGTTTTGAACAGAGATTGCCGTCTTTGAGAGAGACCTATTAATCATGATATCTACAAGTAATTAATGGTTCAGAAAAAAAAATGATCTCAAACTCCTAGTCTGTAATCTCCCTTACTAGATGATGGATATATATTAGATTTGAAAAATACATTTTCAGGTTCATTTACAGAGTTCTTAAAATCTCTGTGTGTCGGACATTACATTTTCTTCCATAACACTAGAATTGCCCATTATTTAGAAGTTCTTTGGAAAGAGCGGATTTTTTTTATGTGGGGGGTAGGGGGCAGTGTTGTCGTACTCGTACTTGGTACTCGTACTTGAGTACTTTTGTTAGAGTACTCGTACTCGTACTCGAATGTCAAAGTACTTGTACTCGAAATGATGGTACTCGTACTCGGGCAGCAAAGTACTCGTACTCGACATGTCAAAATTGTACTAGATCATCAAAGTACTCGTACTCGAATAGCAGTACTCGAAAACAAAATGGTACAGCTTGACTTACCACAGCCTTAATTTTTCAATTCTTTCAGTTTGAAAAGGTTGATCGGCTTGCGGAGAAATCGGAAAAAAATACTCGACTACCACACTGGCAGGGGGTTTAGAAATACTCGGTTAAAAACAGAAAAGGTGACAAATCATGCTATACCTGACCAAGGTCATGCTGATTTCAAACTGCGGACTGTAGTCTTCAAATCGGACCACGACGTTGAAGATCATGGGAACCAGACCGTTAAGTATTGTGATGGTGATGGACGGAAGGTAACCAATCAACAGGCTCCCAACGGCGTTAGTTGTGATTGGCATGTTTGAATGCTGGGGACGGAAAAAAAACACAAAGAAAATGAAGTCGCCAATCTCGAACTGAGACGGTGTCCACAACAGGTGTCTACAGCTATGCCTTAGTCTATTTTTAGCACTGGCCACAACAGATGTGAAAAAAAGGAGCTTCAGTAATAACCACAGCTGAAAAAAATATCCGGTAACACACAATTCGGCCATCTTCAGTCGACAAAATTTCATACAATTTTATTGTGGCTAAAATAAGGTCTTTGTTGCGGTCTCAATTCCATTGTGAAGACAGTTTTGCAAAAGTCACCGGGCCCAAGTAATTTAAATTTGAGGCACACGACAACAATAGCACCTGTCCAACTGGTTACAAAAGAACGATCCATTCAGTAGTCTGGTGGCTTGAATTGTGAACGGAATGTGTGCAAATGAAGACGTGGTTGCAGGTTTTACTAATATGCATATCGTCAGGTGCACAACGAACTGAATGAACAGGATAGTTTTGACCCAGCACGATGTGATATAGCTTGTGTAGATTTTAAGCACATGATACCTCACTAGGTGCAACTGACCATACACTTGTATAATAAGCAAAGTAGAATTGGACTAGTGATGTCTTGCCGCAGCGTTATCTGCTTAAAAAATTGCATGCTTCTACCCCGCCAAATTTTGATCTCTGAAAAAAGATTGGTAATCCTTACTTTTAGGACACCTCTATTTTTTTACGAGTTCTGTTCAAAACTGACTTTTGCAGATGACTGTCCAGTACCAAAGTGACTTTTGCAGGCTAAAGCAGTCTTTAGAAGTCAAGAAGGTGTCATTGCCAATTGTTCAGATGTGTCAAGAAATATCAGAATGTCAATTTTGAGTGTCATTTAGTCAACTGTTTTGGTGAGCCTTTCCCTTCCTATATAGGAACGGGGTCCTAAAAGTAAGGATTACCAAAAGATTGATAAGTTTAAGACATCCGACATCCACCAAAGATCACTATGCAGACGATCTGTATGCAACTTACCAGAACGGACAAGTCGGTGGTATAGTAGATGAGGTAGCCCGCACCACCTAGTATGGCCAGGACCACTACGTTAAGGATAAGCCGCAGTAGGTACAGCCTGCATTTCTTCAAGGTGGTTCTGTTGGCTCGTAACAGCTTCAGCCTTGCCTCCTCGAGATCAGTCTGTGGAGGAAAATATCAATAAAACATCACGCCGTATTCTCCACGAAGAATGTGCAACACCAATAAAAATTTGCCATCTACTTTTTTTTTTACATTACTCACTTCACAATTTAATTTGAGACCAAAGGTCTCAAAGCACTTCACAAGTATTACATCTGTTCATCAGGCCATGAGACCTGCATTTTTGCAGCAGCTCGAGATCAGCGCATTCTGGTCTCTCCCTTCAAGGGTACCCATTTATACTCCTGGGTGGAGAGAGGCAAATGAAGTAAAGTGTCTTGCCCAAGAACGCAAGCACTATGTTCCCCGTCAGGTTTCGAACCCACGTACCACGGCACTTGAGTCGAACACCATAACCATTGGACCTCAGCATTCCACGTACCTTGTAATACCCTGTGTGTACCTGGAAGAGCATCCTCTGTGAAATTACGACTTCCTAAATTTGTTCATTTTGATTCATGTGATTTTATCATACATTTCTGAATATAAATAATGAAGTTACACTTGTCCCTTTTAGTACACAACTGAGACTTGGATTCCCGGGACTCTATTCCAGGTCGACTTTTATCTAAAAGACAATCTCAACCAAGTCTCAACTTTCAGACTAAAGCAACTTGCTGAAGCTTGGATACTTTTAAGTAAATAAGTGATACTGTTTTGGAACTTGAGTTACAGAGCTCGACGTATCAGTTCAGATCGCTAAAAAAACTGTCAGAGGCAGCACCTTATTTGCCAAGCTTGGTCACGTGAGGGCCTCAACAACGCCAGTTGATAAGGACACCGTGATGGTGTCGCAAGCTCCTGATACGAGCTCTGTAACTCAGGTTCAAAAAAAGGTATCGTTTATTTACTTGATATAACAATGGGATTGAAATGAACTTTCATTCTCTACAATACTGTTGCTTTGGCGTGCACTCACCTGGAGTATGTAGTGGATGCTCCGATGTTTCAGGTAGGCGTTTTTCTCGTCGGTCATAGAATAATCCCACGCTGCAAAGATCTTGTTGCAATACTTGAAGTGATAGTCCTCCGTGTTGCCCAGGCTTTCCTTGAAGCCAGCCGCAGTGCTGCAAAAAAAAATTAACCAATGAGAAAGACAAGTATTAGGTCGCATGCATCATGAACCTGATGGGGTATTCAGAGATAACAATGTGGCTTTTCATATCACTAATGTGGCTCTCACAACGTTGGCAAATAAGGGGCTGCCTCTGACAGTTTTTTTTAGCGATTATCATACCAAGACAATGTGTGTAAAGTTGTAAATAGAAATTCATTGAATAATTATGAATTAGCCTGGAATATTGCAGTTGAAATTTTAAAGTAACCACACAGTCCACTGAGACCTTGTTTTTCCTTTAAAAATGGCATCACACATCCGCCACTTTGTTTCACATATGAAAATTTTTTCGAGAGGAGATCCCACGACTCTTTGTTGAATATCAGATGACGATTTACTGTATACTGAATAAATACATTAAACAGTCACCGAGTTGTGCTACAAATACACCTACGAAGCGTCGCACTTACGACGTGTTTTGTGAAATGGATCGCAGGACGCGTTACAGCTGCGACGTATCGTAGGGATACGACGTGTCCCTATTCAAGTCCCCATTTTCAAGTTACGATGAGTTTTGTGAAATCGGGTGCTGTCTACACTTGTTTACTTACTACTGCACCATCAGGAGCAGAGACAGCAGGAAGTAGCCGGCCGAGGTCAGCAGGTAAGCCAGGGGAAGAATGTATACATTATCTAGGAACACAGTGATATCTGTACTGTTGTCGTTACTGAATGAAGGGGGATAGTCGCCGTAGAACAACGCTGTCTGCTCCATCCAACCCTGCAAGTCAGATCAAACCATACAACGACAATATCCGGATAAAAACCTTTTTAGTTTAGCAAATCTGGAGAGAAAGAAATAAACGACACGCAGTACATGTTGACAAAGAAAGTACAGAAGTTATCCACTTTCGGTTTCATTGCATGCCTGCTTGATGTTTAATATTTCTATTTAGGTTTTATATCGCTTAACCCTAAACCTTCCCGAATCCTCTTTTGTAAATGGTGGATTTTGCAGGATTGAGGCTATATGGCAAAAATGTGCGGGTGATTTTGGAGGATCCACGGTGTCAAGGTCTGAAGCCGGACCTTGTGTTGTTTTTGCTCAGCCATGCATAAATTTAGGCCTAGATTATAATTGAAATCCTCCGTACTGCTCCAGGATGGCTCTGCCTCAAAATATTGACAGTGATTGCTGGAGGATTTTGCAAGATTGAGGCAGCGGTCACCCCTCCAAGGACCACATTCAAGAAAATAAGGCCAAAAAAAAAAAAAATATTCGGTCTCTGGTCAGACCAAAGTTTCGGAATTGACGCGGGGACGCGGGTTTTTTTTTTTCTTTTGCGTTTTTTTTTTTCTTCAAGCTTGGATTATACAGACAAGGTGGGGTACTATTTTGCTTTTTTGGTGTCCTCATGTACCGGTACATTGGTGTCCTCCATAATTTGCCTTGGTGTTCTCGATCATTTGCCTTGGTGCAATTTCCAATTCCTTGGTGCTCTTTGGTAAAAAAAAATTGAGCAGGTGCGGCAATAGAGGGCGCTGTTGGGGCTACCGCGGAACATTTTGGAAAAAAAAGATTGACGCGCATGATTAAAATCGATGCGCGCGCTGACCAGAGACCGACTTACTTTTTTTTTTTTGGCCTAATGGAGGATTTTAGAGGACTGACGCTGTATGCAATTTTGACATGGAGGCAGTTGGAGGATTTTGCGGGATTGAGGTTTCGTCCTAGCAAATGCCTAGGGAGTTAGGGATAAATAACATTGTTTTCATATTATTCACAGGGGATCTGCACAGAATATACTCCAAGGGAGAATTGTTTTTGTGGGTCTTGTGTGTTCATCAGAGTGGCATTTGAAAGCCATACATGTATACTTACAGTGCCACCGATGAAATCAATGATGCACTGGCCTGTGTTTCCGGTGTTACACTGTTGGTCCACACTGCTTGTATACTCGGCCTCACATGTTGTTGCTGTTGACAGAATAACAAAATATTGTTACCATGAGAGTCGCACAACCCTAACCTACCTAAAGCTACACAATACAGGGTGAGTAAAAAAAAAAAAACGAAACCCAAATATCGGGACCATTGGTTTAGTGAAGTTCTGCATGTAGCACTTTCAAAATCTAGGATATGAAAGCCCAATTCATAAGCTTTCTTTTAGTACAAGAATCATTCAAATCACTCATGTACTTTTCAAGTTACGGAGTTTTAAACACAAGCCCCGTTTTAAAGTTCTGTGGTACTTTATCAACATCAATATATATAGGGTGAGTAAAAATAAATGAAACCCAAATGGTCCCCCTATTTTATTTTTTTTTAAAAATAAGTTCTACATGTAGCGCTTTCCAGATCTAGGATATGAAAGCCCAATTGATAAGCTTTCTTTTAGAGAAAGAATCATTCAAATCGCTCATGTACTTTTCCAGTTTGGAACACAAACATTTTTTGTTTTTAAACCTTGTCCACGGATCACAATAAAGGTAAGTGACATTTTTTTTTTTTTTACCTGATTTTTTTGGCTTCAAATGTCGGCTGATGACTGCAAATAGTGCCCGACTGAACTTAGTGCAAATATAATGGGAGTCCAGAGAGGCCACATAAAGCTTATTCTCGACCATAACCCAATCTAAAAACACGTTAAAATTGTGCAGCAGCAGGATTCCAGTCAAACCAGTGAGTTTGGCCGTTTTGAGACATCACCTTTCATTGAAAAAAAAAAACTTTTTCATTTTGCCGACGCGCATGGCTACGGCGACGCGCGCGCATACCAGAAACCGGAGACTTTTTTTTTTTGGCCTTATTAATCTAACTTCAAAGTTCACACTCATTCATACCACCTTATCGAGGCAACTTATGGAAAGAAAGGTAACTTACACTCTATGTATCCCCCACCCAGGATGACCTGTGGGATGATGACGAATCCAAACATCAAGACGAAGATGTAGATGTTGAGGAACAACATCCACTTCAGGAAGACAAAGTAGGAGACAACCGCTGTACCAAACTTGCCTGCGAGAGACAGATATTAAAATAATATTTCATTTTCCTCTATAGTTTGGCATCAATCACCACTCTCCTAAGCTAACATTTCTCAACAGGCAGTTTATCGCAATTTTTTCAGCACTAAATAACTGAGAAAATTACATCATATAATGGGTATTAACCCCAACAACCCTGAGCCCATCAAGCTCCAACAGCGGGTTTTGCTTGATTTTGGCAGGGTTGGTACCGAACACTGGCCAGTTGGTGTTGGACTTTGATTGACTGGGTACCAAAGGCCCAGGGAGACCCTGTTGAATTTTGTGAGGTTCGGGGCAGAAGGGCATGAGATTTGTGAACACGTTGGAGTTCACTGGCATTTCTTCGTGGGTATGCTCACCCACGGTCCTCAGCACAGCTTGTGGTCAAATGTGCATGTACATATTGCTTTATTTTGTTAGGTTTGGTACCATCCCTATCCAATCACTCGACAATGCATAGGCCCATCCATACCAAGTCAATCATACTCCAACAGTTGGAGATTGGCAGGTTTAGTACTGTTCCCCGTACAAGGCCTGTTGGAGTTTGGCAGTTTTGGTACCAGTGCTTACAGACCTGTATGCAGCTGTTGAAATTTGTTAGGTTTGGTATACTTTCTAGTGCAAGAGCCTAGGGGGTTAGGGTTAATAAAGCGCACAGATCTGTCATTATTGGTGCTCAAGGGGCTACATGTACACCATTATTACCGTGCTCATTGGGCCAGTGAAACATTCTAAAGACAATCTAGCAGCTAGAATCAATCTAGCCCCATAAATGTGGCCAATTTACTGGACTACCTCCGTAAACATACATGTAGGCCACACGTCCACCATGTCGCACTTTGTCAAATTTTGATTTTCACATTTAGGCTGTTTATAATTATAGTTTATTTTTGCTTTAGAAGCATACTCACCCTCTTTATAGGCTAATCAGAAAGTGCTGCCTTTTTCAGATGTCTATTTTTTGTGAAATTTCCAGATTCGTTTGCACACGTTTTCATATCAAAATTTCAACATGAAATTTCACGAAACAAATTTTTCGTGAAATTTCAAGATTCGTTTGCACACGAAAATTAGACATCTAAAAAAGGCAGCACTTTCTGATTAGCTTTTAAAGAGGGTGAGTATGCTTCTACATTGTAAAGCAAAAATAAACTATAAACTAAGCCTAAATGTGAAAATCAAAATTTGACAAAGTGCGACATGTTTTTGTACATGGTGGACGTGTGGCCTATGTTTACGGAGGTAGTCCAGTATTAAAATTGGCCACATCTATGGGGCTAGGATCAATCACAGTAAACATCTAGATGCATCTCTGCCCTCACAGGTACCCATTTACTCCTAGGTAGGGAGAAGCAATGAGCGACAAAGTGCCTTGCCCAAGGGCACACGCACCACAGCCCCAGGCTGGACTCAAACCTACAACCTGCAGAATTACCTGCAGACCACAAAATCAGTATTCCAGACCACGAGGCCACGACACTTGATTCTTCTTGATGTAATGTCAGTCCATCATATAAAATATCCCTTACAATGCAAGCACCAATTTTTAGTGTTGTTGTGGATGGGTGGAGGCAAGTGAGGGTAAAGTGGCTTGCCCAAGGACACAGCACAAACTAGCACCTGGATTTGAACCACTGATCACGAGTAACAGCAAATCCTAACCATTAATTGTAATATACCGGCAACTCACCTTCCACTTCTTTCAAGGAGGCCCGCCATACTTCAAACGTCAAGACAACATCATACATCTTCTCTTTGAAGTGTTTCCATTTCTGTGGAATGAAAATCAGGCAAAGTGAGAATGATCAGGTGGATGTGTGGGGTGTCTCTAGCTGACAGGCTGTCAAGTGAGGAGTTGAGGAGGAGAGTTGGAGTGGGGGGATCGGTATCGTATTGAGGAGGCATAGGCTGAGGTGGTATGGTCACGTGGAGAGAAAGGAAGATGCTAGCTGGGTCAAGAGGTATAACAGCATAGTCGTGGGAGGGCCCACACCCGTCGGCCGACCGCGCAAGACGTGGCAGAGTTCCATGACTGATGACATGTGACTGTTTGGAGTCAACGCGAGGGACGCGACGGACAGGGCCAAGTGGAGAGGAGCCACAGGGAGAAAGCAGGCCAACCCAGAACAGATTGGACAACGACCTCAAAACCGACACTGATGATAACAGAACATCCAAATCAATCATTGTAAGGGTTCAGTGTTGGGCAAAATGGATTCTTTTGCTCAGGTCCAATGTCCTTCCATTGAAAAAGACATGGATGTATAATATGATGTACTTGTACATGAATAGGGCAAAAATGACTTGAGTTAAATGAACATCAATTCCTCCACAGTTCCCAGCACTTTACAAAAACAACATTCCCTGAGTTTCCCCTGATAATTCCCTGAGAAATTTCCAAAATTCCGTGAGAAATATTGTCACTGTATCAGGTTGCAGGGAAGTCAAGAGGTGGTAATATAGCACAGCCAATTGTTATCGTCTGGAGAGGCCTGCAATATTCACACTGCATAAAACACTAAAAAGCCACCATAGCCAGTCAGTCAATGGACACAACTTGGACACTGTATAAAGATGCACATGCACCACACTGGCAAAAACCTTACTCTTCTGGGTCACTGTAAAATTCAGACTTTTCCCTGATTTTTGGCATTTTCCCCCCAATTTCCTTTAGTTTTCCCCCCTATAGAAAAACTACTTTTCTGCTCATTTACAGCCTGTCTAAAAAAAAAATGGTACAATCGAAAATGATTTTTTTTTTTTCAATATTAAATCTCAACATAAGTAAGTCGTTTTGAGCATCACATTAAAGAAAAAAGACCAGGCTTTCCACTACATTTTGTTTCATCTCATTTGCTTTTGTCAATCCAGAGAAAACTCCAGTTTACTGCGGAACACAAAAATCGAGTTTCGGCCACTTTCTGGTTGAGTGAGAACGGTGAAAGAATTAGTGTATTTCATTAAAACATGCAATAAATATTTTTATTTGTTTATTATTTATGAAAAGAAAATATTTATCATTGAACTTATTATGTTGACTATTAAAGCTTGTATCGAGAAAACCAGACTTCCTTTGTGTACGTTAATCTGTGTTTTGTTTCTTTTGCCAAGTTGCAATCTTTTGTGAGCTTCAAGACAGCATGGCACAGTACTCGAAACAATTCTGCCCATGCATAAAAGTGGCACAAAATCGATTTTGGTGTATCGCACTAAAATTGATTATATCTCTGAATTGACAAAAGCAAATAAGATCAAACAAACACTATTGGAAAGCCCAGTCTTTGTTCTTTAATATTATGCCAAGTAAGAATGACTTATTTTGAAATTTCATATTTAACCAATTTTTTTTTCTGATTGTACCATTTTTTTTAGACAGGCTGTAGAAAAATATCTCACTTAGTTACACGTTTTCTTTTCATTTTGCGCACAATTACAGAGTATCGTGCATGTATCATGCACTTCTAATGTTCTAAATGTGCACATCCACAATCTAGCTATAGGGTAGTAATAATGAAACACCATCTACCATTAAATCATGAAATCTATGTACTTTCCAACATGAACACATAGGCCTATCACTCTAAATAGAATGCAGAGGAGGCGGCCAGCAGGTGTGCTAGGCACAGCAGGTGTTTAGGCAGAGCAATTAATTAGTGGGCAGAGCAACATTCTCACCAGTGCTGTGTTGTACTTGAATGATTTCCATCCTGATACCGCTTTCACCTTCCTCTTCCCATATTGGTTTCTGAAACAAAAGGCAAAGACAACAAGAGCGTCAACTTTCAAACCTTTTTTCTTTTGAATGAATGTGAAAATTGTTTATCTTTAGGCCAAATAAAAAATATGTTTAGCGTCCCCGCCCACTTCGTTTTTGGAGGCCGCCTCCTTTTTTTTTTTTAACCGAAAACATTATAAATTTCAACAGTGACATCATTTTGGCCTCTTTATCTGTTGCATCTAGCCCAGTCATTTCCTGAGTCCAATGGCGGCCATTTAAAAAAAACCTGGGGGCCATCTTGAAAAATAGCCCGGTCGGGCGGCCATTTTGGAGGTGAAAAAAGGGCCTCCTACTTTCTTTTTTCAAAGACAGAACACTAAGCATGTACATGTCCCAAGGACCTTGTTATAAAGGTGTTCGACTGTATTTTGATAATCATTCCCTTTTTTCATTAATTCAATTAATTTCAATTACATACACAATCCTTACACAGGTTCAACAAATACTTGTACGAATTTCCTGTTCAGTCCGTGCATGATCAAAAACAAAACTACAAAATGCAATTTTATGAAGTACAAATTCACATATTACCGGTATTTGGTTTTATTTGACTTGTAAATGAATTACTTTGTCAAGGTCAACAGAAAGGATACAGTCCAATCATTTTTGTTTTTGTCTGTATTTCCACAATTGATATACATGTAGCAAATTTAAAAATAGATATTTCCTATATAACCCTTTTGGTGTTACAGGAAGCGTATGATTTTCCTAAACCTAGCTGGTACGCTGTCAAAATCCAAGTTCAAACAGTGACATGACCTGTGATCTTGTCAAAATACACAACTTTTCCATGCACGACACGTTCATGTAAACATGGTAAATTACAGTTTGGTACGGGAAAGTTGCTGTTTTACATGTACATGTACATGTACATGTACATTGTATCTTCTTGAACTTGCAGAATGAGACGTGTATCAGTTTTGTAATTGTAGCGTTTATTGCTGGTAGCTTTTGTGTAATGTATTTGTGTACATGTACATAAACAAATTTGTACCAGTATATGAATGTATTTTTTATATCAACCATTGTGAAATTTACACATTCAAATTACTACCATTTTTCAAGGGCCCTAAACACTTCACTTTGTACACATGCATGTGCGTGTACATGTACTTGTAGGCCTACATGATATGTGCGTATGAATGAGATATTTGGCTGTTCACATGTACCGTAATTTTTCGGAATATAAGCCGCCCTGTGTATAAGCCGCAGTAAATATTTTTGCGGGCAATTTCAACGTATAAGCCACGGCTCATATTCCGAAAATCACGGTACCAATATGCACGGAAACAAACTCAATCAAACTTTGTCATTAAAATGAACTCATCACTAATATATGACTCAACACAATTTAGGTACATGTACACACAGGTGTTTGCCCTGTACAGGTTGTGATGAACGAGGCCATGGTAGTATTGTGCACTCCCTTGCTAGCTACAAGCCACAGTTGCATGGAGACATCACCCAACAAGCTGAGCCTTTTGTGTAATATCTTTTCACACAATAAAGAGAATCAATAAAGCATTGATAAGGAACCAAATTATACACACAACAAACAGCAATACGTGCAAGTTAACATATTTTGTAGTCCTACTCGTCACTGTAACCTGCAAAAGCTGGGGTTTTTTTAAAATAATTTTTGTATTTTAAGTAAATTGCAATTTATACAGAACTTCAAATTCATGACTTGCATACATGTACATTGTAAACTTATCTGCATAAATTAAATCAAAACAACCTAATGAAAAAACTGCTTTACTTAGAGAAAACCAGTGGCCAAAAAAAAGGCAACGCTTGGGTTCAGTTGTCATGGTAGTAGGCGGTTATAAGGCCATCACAGATGAAACTGTGAATCACAGAGCATCAAAATAATTTTTACAAAAAGAAAAAAAAATGAATTATAACAAAACAGTCAATGTGAAAATGTGTCTCAGAGATAAGAAAAAATTATAATAAAATAAAATTAATCCAACTTTCTCGTTATATACTCATTAGAAAAAAAAGAAAATAAATACATTTTGTATTTTACATCATTGGCTGAAGCGTGCATGCAGACCGTGGGTATTGGGTGCGTTTATGATAGCTAAATTTAAAAGAACCAAGTCCAGCTTGTCAGGATTTTTCAGAGTTTATTAATTGCTTAAAGGCTGTAAGAGAACTGACTGAACAAGTACAAATCTCAATCACATTCAAAAGCGGCAAAACAAGTCCAAATTTCTCCATGCAACAAAATAAAAATCAAGTTGGACTATTTATATACATAAATTCCAATAATAAAAAGTGCTGACTACAATTATACATTTTTTGTATATATTACATAAAGTTTACCGAATATTCGATCACAACCAAATATTCAAATAGCTTTTTGCCGGTTTGAAGATCCGATAAAAACACAAAAAACACATACACACAACTGTGGTGTTATTCTATCGTAAAGTTGTAGCAACTTTATTGTCAGGTGCCATGTCAACGGTAACTTTTTAGGCGACGGTGGTTCAGAGTTCACATCTTTTTAGCAGATGAAAAGCAATTTACAGATATTTGTAAAATAATTACTGTAAAACACTCCAGCGCCCCATATCGATCGCCGCACAAAATTTTTTAACTGGCAACTTTTTACCGGCGCAGCACGCAATTGCAGCTGGCACTTTGGAATATCTGAATATTCGGTCAAATGCATTTTCAAGTTTATCCAGGGTTCGACTTTAGCGGTAGCCCGCTAGCCAAATGCTAGTCAAAACAGCGGCGGGCTAGTCAAACTATTCCTGAAGTAGCCCGGCTGGCGAGTCAAATTTTATTGACAACGGCAAAGATGAAAGGACAAAAAATAGTTCATTAAATTCAGAAAGCAAACCTGTATCACTTTGTGTCTAATTTTATTAAATCTGTTTTGTGTTAAATTATTAGATCTGTTTATTTAAAACACTGACAAGATATGCCTCAGGATACACGTTTAATCATGTAATTGTATGCACATAAAAGAAAAACATGCGGGCTAGTGAAAATGCCCGCAGGCTGGTTTCGAGTCTGTTTCAGTAGCCCGGCTGGCTAAGTAAATTAAAAAGTTAAGGGAAAACCCTGGTTTATCAACTGCTAAATTATTCAAAAAATTGACCGTTCTACACGGTACATGACAGCAATTGATGGGAATTTAACCAATCAATTAAAAATCAGTTTCGAGTGCAGTTTTTATGTGATCTGCCTGGTGGTATTGAGTGCTCTTTAAAAATGCATTGTTCACCGTCACACCTTGTAATTTGAAACATCACTCTGCCCGAATCACAGACGAGAGAATACTTCAAATGGTTTCCAAACCCTTAGGCCAGCCGAATCCCTGCTAACCGACACCTGGGACAATACCGGTAGGCACACTCTGTTTATGAAAAGGCAGGGATTTTCAAGCGTGCGTATAGCGCTGTTTCTATAGCAACACACAATGACCGATCAAACACTGACGAAAATTGCACCGGTTGTTTGCCCAGTGGTTAATATTCAATGTGTCTGGTCTGCTTCGTATCATTATCGTTTGAAATATTCTGAGTATCTGATCATGAGATTGAATTCACAGAAATATATGGCTTGGCGTGCCATGCACCACAAGATTTAATGCGCTGGACTTTGGGCCACACTGGCAAATCAACTTGCCAGGCTGCTGTGTACATACATGTATACATGTACATGTATCATAAAATAAAATGTACATTGTACATAATATTTTAATTTTTACAACTTGAGGTGCAGTATTAATTATTGTCCTTACTTAAAGCTATAGTCCATCATTTGCAGCCATCCGAAAAGTAACTGGCGTAATTACTGTTGAAAAACAAACTTGGTTGAAAGATAGTAAGGGAACTAAACTCCCTGTGAAATTATTCTTTCTGGGAAGCTGTCATTTTGAAGTAATCAACGAAAGAAGGCATTTCCAACGGTGATTCTTAAGAAGCACCGTAGGAAAATTTAAATTAGTAGTTCGTTTTGTTATTCAGCGCAGCGCGCACAAGTATTGGAGCGACGCACACGCGCGCGCGGTTGTTATAATTCGTCGGATCAGTGCGCGACGCCGCGTATAGCTGCAATTCAAAACAATTCAAAACATCATTCAGTAACTTTTGATTTGAAATTGAGATCCTAGAATGCTGCTTTTCTCGGAATGTACAGCTGAAGCTTAGCTGAAACTTCATCAGGTTAGTTTCCTTCATTAGATTTTGAACACTTTTGTTGCTTCAAACGAACAAAATGCACTAATTACAAATAGTAAATACTGTTTTGTCAATGATGTGAAAGTATTTAGAAACTTTGCATTTTGCATCAAAATAACTTGCTCTTCCCTTTGACAACAATTGTATTTCTCCAAAAACAAGGCTAGAAGTTTGGTACCCATTTTGGCCTAAATTCTGAAAGTGTGCCTTTAAAAAGGCAGTATAATATGAAAAGTGTCATAGGAAAAAATGTATTCACTCAATTCATACACGTCAACATGTGAGGTATTGAGAAAAACTGGAACATACTATACAGGGTGAGTAAAAAAATCTTAACCCGAATGTCGGGATTTTTTTTTTAATTGAAGATCTGCATGTAGCACTTTCAAAATCTAGGATATGAAAGCCCAATTCATAAGCTTTCTTTTAGTACAAGAATCATTCAAATCACTCATGTACTTTTCAAGTTACGGAGTTTTAAACATACCGGCAGCCGCCGTTTTAAGGCAAATGCAAATTTAACGCACTGGCAGGCACCAGACTACTCCTCATTTGCATACGTGTTCAAAAATCTTGCACATGCAAATGATCCAATACCAGGGTGAGAGAGCATGTAGTGATGGGCGCATATTGCTCGACACCCTGGGGACGAGGTTGGTTAATTGCAAAAAAAAAATTAAATGCATAGGCCTGGTATTAACAAAATTTGGTGAATTTTGGCAGTATTTGAAAAAAAGGTCAGTTTTTAAAAAGTTATTTATATGTCCATTTGTCAAAAACGATAAAATTTCTGATGTCCATGTATTTACTTTTGTTTATTTATTCCCAATCGATCAATTCAGTCAAGGAAACCTCCATTTTCCGACAAGACTGGCAGGTTTAGGACGGTTAGGTGAAAACATGCACAGTGCATGCGGCATTCAGGCGATAATGATTGATAGTGGTTCCCACCGCTGTCATGGCTGTAAAGATTAATAACTGAAGCCGGAAGAACCAGGAACAGTCTACAGCTCAGCCGATTGCTCGGGACCACGCCATTTTTGAGCGAGGGGTGTCGGTCATGAGGACGTTTGCTTACTGTTCACGCATTTGAAAAAGTATCTTCCGTTTATGATATTTCTTCCTAAACTAAAATCGTTTTGAAATGTTTTGCATTGTATTTTCGTTTTACAATAATTGTTTAACCCTAACCCCTTGAGCACTTTTACCATAAAGTATCCTGAATCTGCCAAAATCCACCTATTGTGTCATGCAAAAAAAAGGTTTGTGTTGGTGACTGCTCAGTATGGAGGTATCCTGAATCCATCAAAATCCTGGTGTTCCGCTAGGCTTACAATCCTGAATCCATCAAAAATAACCTGTCATGTCTGTTTTCAATATGGAGGTATCCTGAATCCGCCGAAATACTCTGACACAGGGGTATGGATTTTGATAGATTCAGGTACGTTTGGGTTAAACTACGAACTTGAGCCATGCAAAAAGTGTGAAGCCCCCCCCCCCCCCACCCCCAAGGGAATTGTCCACAACAACCAAGCAGTGGATGTGGATATAAGTACCAGTTTGGACATGGATAAGTAGACTCCGTGATATATCCGTATGTAATTTGACGTTACGACTGAATTTAAATTATGAGTTTAAATCTGCCTGTCCCTAAGACGTCTTCTGTTGACTCAAACCTTTGTTTTTCAGTGACCAGTGCAACCATGCTCCGTCACGCAAGGCACATCAGCCGACATTTTTTTTTTCGATATAATTTTCTCATATCAAATTTTCGATATTTCGCTATGATTTTAATAATCGATATCAACAATATATCGATATCAACTTGATGTCGAGTAATATCGATATATTGACAGACCCGAGTAGTCTTACTCGAGAAGCAAAGAACTTGGATTTGACTATAGAGTACCAAAGTGTGACATCATTTAGAACCAGAAGCGTACCGCAAACGAATGGAGTACGCGCGTGTGTTGGTTCAAGGGCTGAATCACATGCTAATTATGTCTTTTACGCACACATTGTGTTCGTGATGTATTCACTTCGGTAGTCTGTTTGGTGTTGTACTCTAACATATAAAGTACTCATGTTTGCTCGACTAGGTCTCAGGTACTTCTATGAAGTGTAGCAGAGTTGGCTTTCAAGAAGTCTTGATCAAAAAGGGTGTAGTCCATAACAACCATGTTGCTCAATTGGTGCTTTCAGTTTCCACATTGTTTTCACTGGAATAGTCCATACAGTATTCGTTCTCGAGGTCCAAGTACTTGTACCTAGACATGTTAGAGGCCCAAGTACTCAAGCTCCGTTTCACAAAACCTGTACCGATAGTACTTTGAAGGTCCAAGTTCTTGGACTCAGGTACCTGTACTCGTTCTCAAGGGTCAAAGTACTTGGATGTGAGTGGGACTCAATAGCTTGGTACTCAGAAGTACTTTGTACTTAGATAAAAGTACTTGACTACAACACTGCATTTTTTCCTGAAGAGTTTCTAACAAAATCAGGATTTTTTTTCAGATTTGTGTTTTTATCATTGACCATATATTGACATAATTGAAATTATAACATAAGTGTAATCGTTGTGTAAAGACGGAATGAGACTAATTTCAAGAATATTTAGATTAGAAGGCACACAGGTGTTATGTAAATCTCGAACTATAAATAGAATAAGATCAATTGTATGCCCTTCATTAAAAACTTCAATAAATACAGCACAGTTTTTTACAAAAAAATAATGTCGGCAGAGGGCAATCCTGCATCACTTTCTTCACATACAATAATCTCAATTTTAATTTGCTGGCAAAACCCAATTTTAATTGAGATTATGTTTGGTGAAGAAAGTGGTGTCAGTAGGCCCATATACCATGTATACCTACTAATTGTTTTTCTATCAAGTATCATGGCCAGTAAGCAGTAGCCATGTTCCCTGCAATCTCTGACCAAACTCACCGTAGTTCCCGTTTTTTGTGTAAAGTAGCCGGCATCTCCCGGATGATTTTGGCCCTGCTCTCGACCGCATCTTCTTTATCCCCTTGCACGTCCAACTTGTGCAACTCAAACTCGATGGCGTTGTGGCAATGTTGCCGGCTGTAAGTGCCGCCCATGGTGCCCTGCCGTGTCACGGGCCGTCCCGTCAGGGCATCAGTCTCCGGGCCGTCTCCCGGCGCGAGGTCCGGTTGGTGATACATGGCCGGACCGCTGATTGTCCCGTTGCCTTGCTCTACTCCGCCCGAGTCAGTTGTTACGGGAACCGCTGCTGCATACGGCAGTTCTACTTTAACTGTCTCGTTGTTATTCGAGGTGTACAAATCATCGGCTGGTGGGGAAGACACTTCCCCGTTGTTGGAAACCCCTAAAAGCGATTAGATGAAGCGAATTTATTGGGGTAGATTGCTTGGATAAAACAAAGGTTTGAAGTTAGGTTTGATCATGGTTTGATCGATCAACGCAAAAGCACACGGATACAATGTACGTACGTGTACGTGTACACGTACACGTACAGTCGGCCATGGGTCATACGCCAAACTTAACTGTGGTCGCCTGACTATTGTTCTTATTTATTTCCAACGTGTAGATAATGTCAAAGTGGTGACAGCAATAGCCAGCCAGGCCATGCGTATCCCGTGCGCTTATATTTTTTCCCAATCCGTCATAATATTTTGGCCCTTTTAGGTAGAATGGTGGACTAGCTGTTTTATATGAACTAGCACCATCAATGAGAAGAAGACAACGCCATTCTAAGGAAATGAAACAGGAGTTATCGACATTAATTAATGGGCCGGCTCGAAAGCCTGGCCTAATAGTAATAAATTTAAAGCCATTTGTGGATTCTTTCCCCCGCACATCTTCGAGAAACCCATTCTGTTGTTTGTATTATTCTTTTCGTTAGAACTAGAAGCAAAAAGACTTGCTGAAATTTGTATGTAGGGTGCATAACAATTCAACAGTTGACGTTTTAACTCAGTGGCTACTGATTAAAGAAAACCGGGGAGGAAAAGCACTATTTATTCTTGGAGTCTCATATATAGAATCGGATCCGTTGTTAACATACATAACTTGAAAAAAAATGCCCGAGGTCACACTTTTTTAAAACACTCGAATGATGTCATTTCAGTCGCAATCATTTCGAAGAGTATTTTATAGCATGTCTTGTCTTCATTTTGAGTTTTTCTCATCACATTTCGTACTGCATGCCTTTAAAAAAATTGGCTAGCCTAAACCCGGCCGAGCCGAGCGTACACTTTCTTAGAGATACTACTTTGACTCTCCAACAAATTCGATATTTCTTCCTTATGAATTCTCATTTTCGGGTTTTTTTTAAGTTAATTTGTCTGTCGTAGGCGTATAGAGCTGTTATTATTGTTACTTGAATAATGTCGCCAGGCCGCAAATAATTCAACATGTGAACTAATTATTCCACGGGGATGTGTAATGCTGAATAAATGCGACATAATAGTCGCAGGCATTTAATTTCGCCACAGGTGATAAGCAGGGGCGGCGAAACGCTTTTCAAACTGGGGGCAACATTAAAAGGGGCACGTCGATTGAAGAACTAGCTGTTCTTATAGCTGAACTAACATGCGGGTCAGCATGGGCTGGGACAGTTTGGAACCTTTTTCCCTTGCTCCTCTTCGAGAAACCACTACGAACATTTTGCCAAGGCGTTGTGAATTCTTTTCGTTTAAAATTGAAGCACAAACTACTCAAAATGAGTAGGATACATTATACCGGTTGACGTTAATAGCTCAGTTGCTGCTGATTAAAGAAAATCAGGGGAAAACAGTGTTATTATGCAAAATGTATTCTAAGGGTCTCATAACCGGACTCCGTTGCTACTTAAATGTGATCGAGGGCACTATTTTTCTGAACACCTTTTCTTTTCTGTCGAACGATGTCATTGCAGTCGGAATCATTTCGAAGAGTATTTTATAGCATGTCTTCATTAGTTTTTCTCATCACGTTTCCGGGTTAATACCAATATTCATAATTATATATACCGCCCTTAATATTTTTGGCTATAGGCCTATACCGACCCCGAGCTTACAAAATCTTAGAGATGCTCCTCTGACTCCTCTAGTGCTCTTATACAAATTCGATCTTTATTCCTCCTTAAGAATTCTCATTTCTCATTTGGTTACACTATTTTTTTTCTATTGTAGGCGTATGCATAAAAAAGAGCTTTTAAATCTGAATAATGCCGCCAGGCCGCAAATAATTCAATATGTTCAATAACTTATTAATGATATATAATCATAATCTTGGGCCAGAGGATGTGTAGGGCTGATAGAATAATAAATACGACGTCTTAGCGTTTCGCAGACAAACTTTGCTGCAGGTGATGAGGACAGATCATTATGCATGTAGCGGATGCAGGAACGGGGGGGGGGGGGGGGGGGGGGGGATGAGAGGGGGCGGGGATATATTCCGCCACGTTTTGATATTTTTTCTTCGGCCCACCCACATTTGAATAGCCCACATCATTCTTGCTGGAGGAGACGGATGCACGGTTTCATTCCACTTTAAGAAATGTTTCGACGCCATTGTGACAGAAAAATTTCCCAGGTGAAGGTGATGTCCAGGACAATCATGGAAGTATGGAGGATCGCCATATAATGCGATGACGATGAAGACGATGATAATTATAACAAAATGACAACGACATGAGCGACGATAGCCGTTTCCGTGCTAACATTAAACATAAACCCAATAGATTAGCTCCCCATACCACATTATCTATGGCCTATAATAAGGTGCTGAAGTTGTCGAGATTGTTAGTAGTTGCCTGTCCAGAACACGGAGAAAAAAAATTCGAAAGGACGTTGCTCCGTCTCTTTTTTTTAAGAATGACGACAATAAGGAAATGAAGGATCAACTTACCAGACATGGAGTCAATTCATCTCATCTTATTGATAGTAAAATTATTGTCCACATTTCCAGTAACTGGACTGATGGAGATGTTACGCTGTATACAATGCAATTATATCTTCCCCTTCACTAATCAAACACAATCACTGGACATTGACAGCATCATTGTTATGTAAAGTAGCTGTTTCTTGTACCCCATGGTTACAGCGTGCAGGACTATATACCATCGTTTCCCAAATAGGACCATGGAGAAATAAAACACACGAATCGACTTAGGGATATACTTTTTTCCCATCAGAAACATTTCGTCTTTATGAACGATTAAAGTCACTCTATAATAAATTGCAGAGTCAAAGTCGGACTGGAGGACTTGGGGAGGGGTCAACAAAAAGTTTGTATTTTGTAAGGCTTGGCATATATCGTCTTCAAAACGGATCACTCATGCATGCATTCAACGTTTGATGCTATTTTTCTAAGATTATGGAGGTACTTCATTTTAAATTCCCCTTTCCCAGAATGATGCACAATACCAAGTCAATGTTTCGGTGTTCTAAATTCTTTTCAGGAAATTAATTCTTGAAAATCTGACTTCAAAATCTCTATAAATGGGGTGTCGGAAACTGTTTGTTTCACGGTCGATATTCCTGAATAGGAGCTATTATGGCAACCCGTTATATTGGGGATTACATGGGACAACAGATGTGGCGTAACTGGTGAAGATAAAACCTGTGCAGACACTGTGTGCTGGGCGCATCATAGACGGTAAATAAGTATAGACGAAATTAGATAAAGGTGATGTGATGACAGACCAGCGGCGGATATGGATCTACCGGGAGGGGGGGGGGGGGCGGGGCAAAAAAAAACCCCACAAAATAACAGGGGAAAAATATTGCATTCCTGTTACCTCTCCTCCCCTTGTCAGCTACACCCCACCCCCGCCAGACATCGTTCCGCCAGCAGCACGTTTTTCCGAAAGGCCACGCCGTACGCCTGACGGGTGAATTAGTAAATTTCTTCTTTCAAGTCCGCAAGGGATTGGAAAAAAAAACATACATCGTCTCCAAACTGGTTTACAAACATTTCGTGGCAATTCAACATTATTTTGTTTCCATTCTGTATAACTATTATTTTGAAATGCTTTTGAGCTTGCAAAACTTGCAATTTGCGTCGACGGGTAAGCGGCCTATGCACATTCCAATAATTTTCCCCGCCCCGCCTATTTGTCTTCGAAGAAAACAGGGGAAGAAATTGTATTTGGGTCTTTGGGTTTAGCTACTGGACTGCCTTGAATTTGTGAGGGTGAGTAAGTCATTGATAGTTTTTCCTGAGTACTTCGAAAGATTATTGTCTTATCTCGTCTTGTGGAATTCTTCATTAAGTTGGGTGCGGCGTTCACAATACATTGACCCCTTGCTACATGCTGTGTACTCCGTATAGCGCCCTCTATCAAAGCATGATCCAGCTGCAACTACCGGAAGCTTGTACTTGGAGTACTAACTTGCCAGCTCGAAAATTTCTGCTTCAGTTTTTGCCGGGCCAACAATCCTGAAGATATGTCGCACTCAAATCAGATTATATGAAGGTAAAGAAACCGGGGAAGTCTTTTAGATAAACGTTTACCCTAATAACATCGCACAAAGAATTGTTTGTTCGATCTTAACTCGAACTCTTGCGAACCCAAATCACCTGACGTTTGTAATTGTTATTGTGATGTTATTTCTATTACCGGATTCATCATGTGAATATGTTCAGAATGTCTCTTTTGAGTGTCACTTAGTCAGCTGTTTTGGTGAGTCTTTTTAACCTTATATAGGTACGGGGTCCTAAAGGTAAGGATTACCCTTTGTCAAGTTTTGATTTTCATATTTAGACATACAAAGTCTAAATATAAAAACCAAAACTTGACGAAGTTCTACATTTTCGGGTACATGTTCAGCCCCATAAACATGATAAATGTGGCCAATTTACTGGACTACCTCCATAAATAAAGACCACACTTGGAACATGTACCCGAATATGTAGAACTTTGTCAAGTTTTGATTTTCACATTTAGGCTTTGTTTGTAGTTTATTCATGCTTTAGAAGCATACTCACCCTCTTTAAAGCGATAGAAAATTATTTCCCTCCCTCCCCATTTTCAGACATCTATATTTCATGTAATTTCCAGGTTCATTTTGAACACGTTAACATATCTAAATTCCAACACAAAATAACACAAGGATTAGATGTCTGAAAATTGCTTTAAAGAGGGTGAGTGTGCTTCTAAAGCATAAATAAGCTAAAAAACAAAGTCTAAATATGAAAATCAAAACTTGGCAAAGTTCTACATTTTAGGTAGCCCCATAAATGTGGCCTATTTACTGGACTGCCTCCGTAAACATAGGCCACACATCCACATGTACAAACAACGTGTCGACTTTGCCAAATTTTGATTTTCACATTTAGGCTTACTTTTTACGTTTTTTTTTGCTTTAGAAGCATACTCACCCTCTATATAGGCTAATCAGAAAGTGCTGCCTTTTCCAGATGTCCATTTTTCGTGAAATTTCCAGATACATTTGCACGCGTTTGCGTATCAAAATTTCAACATGAAATTTCACAAAAATTAGACATCTGAAAAAGGCAGCACTTTCTGATTAGCCTATAAAGAGGGTGTGTATGCTTCTAAAGCAAAAAAAATCTACAAAGTAAGCCTAAATGTGAAAATCAAAATTTGGCAAAGTCGACACGTTTTTTGTACATGTGGATGTGTGGCCTATGTTTACGGAGGCAGTCCAGTAAATAGGCCACATTTATGGGGCTATATTTTAGGGTACATGTTCCAAGTGTGGCCTTTATTTACGGAGGTAAGTCCAGTAAATTGGCCACATTTATGGGGCTAACATGTTCAGTGTATGGTGATTGTGCATGGTTTATTTTTGGTGAAGTTAGAGTGATTTTTTGCTGTCTTAAAATGGCTTCTGCAATCTATAGCAGACTTCTCTTCATTCTAAGGACACTGTTTTTCTGTATTTTTGAACAGTATGCGATTTTCTTATCAATTCATGGAGCAACTATAAGAATGCAGCACTAAACCACAATGCACCGCATTGACAAATGCGATTTAGCAAGACATCAACTAGAGTCTACATTTAATGCATTTCCACATTTGGTACAGTTTGGTGCATTCACAGTTCGTCACTGCACAGAGGAAAAATAACTAGAAGTAGAGCAAAGTACAGTCATTGCGACAGTTCCGGATCATCGACAGTTCCGGATCACTTGATTAAATGAAAACTAATTCAAGCGTAACCAAACTTTGTTTTCGAGAATAGTTTTTACCAGTTTGAAGGTCTATCATTTTGCAAAATTTTGTCGGGTAAAAGAAATCTTGGAAATCGTTTAAGCATTACCCATGATCCAGTTCAGCAAAATGTCCGCTTCTTTTGTAACTGGCCAGTGAAGGAAGCGTGTAAAGGCAAAAACCTGGTTTCGTGTGGAACGTAGCCGACATTTGTTGTTTTGTTCTTTTAAGGAAATAATCTCAAGTATCCCTGAGTGATATCGTCTACATGGGTGATCCTGTAGTGTAGGGCCCCAGTTTTGTTTCGTTCAAATTAGAATCAAGAATTTTTTTTATTTCTAAAAAATGACATTGTCAACCTACAGCAGACTTCTTTCAATGTAATGACACCGTTTGGTAATTTTTGAACAGTTTCTTGTGGTGGAAATTACGATTTTCCTGCGCAGTTTACTGGCCGGTTGGTGCCGTGCAGCGCGGCTTGCGTGCTCACGGTACACATGGTACATCGCGCGGTGATCGCCATCTTTATTTTTGTGTTACGTTTTGTTGTTGTCATCGTCGTTTTACCCCAAATTTCCCTCAAAAATTCAAAACCCTGCCATTTATCTATGACATACATGTACCTATATATGTTCTTAATGTCGCCAACTAGTTTGGTTGGTCAAATAATGGTTAAAAGTTGATTTTGTTCCCTTTTAGGAACCGGGCCCTACACTACACGATCGCCATCTACATGTACATTTAAACCTCACATGTTCTTTAACAAACAGTGTAACTTTTTTTCAATTTGTAAAGAGAAATATTGTATTTTACTGGGTAGCTATAATGCTTTTGAGCATAGCTGCATAAATCGTTTTGAGAACTTTCAAAGAAAAATTCCATCTTATAACTTTCAAAATTGTTACAGAAAACAATTGGAACTTTTTACTCAAAACATTTCTAAAGTTTTTCCAAACAATCTCCAGAAACCAGGTTTTGAAAAGTTTAGTGCATTCCAGTGAGGAATTTAAGCCCTCTTTTGAAAAAAAAAACAGGGGTGTGTCAACTTGTGGTAAGGGTTTGTGACTCATGATCTGAGGGTCAGGGGTTCAAATCCAGCTGCTGGCTACGTGTACATGCTATGTTCTTGGGCAAGCCACTTTACCCCTACTTGCAACACTGGCTGGTCACGTCAGCCGGTGCTCTGATAATTTGGGAAAAATTTTGTTGTGGGTCCGCCCTTAATGCCCCCCCCCCCTTCATAAAATGCTGGTGTGCCCCCCCCCCCCCCGAAAAAAATATACCGGCTACGCCACTGGAGTAACCTTCAATTGACTCTTGATGTATGTACCTTCCAAAGATAATACAAATAATATTCTCATTTGTTTCATGCCATGGAAACTGGAAATGAATGCCTGGCCCCATTTGAGCAAAATTAGTTGGTTCAGAATTTCACCTACTGAACCAAAGCGTTCAAAAGTCATTTTTGTCTGCTCCATACTGGTACATGAATATGTACAGAGTGGTACATGTTTGTTTGCTCGGTGCTCTTCTTTTGTCATTCCTGCAATGTTTGTCTGTACAAAGATTGATCTCAATGCGTGTTTATCTGGTTGCCATGATTAAAGTCGGGCCATGTCCTGGATTAATTTGTAACACTATCATCACTATTATTAGCATTCAAGATTCTGGACGCCATGGTGGTACATAACATGGTGTGAAACAGGGTTGTTGAAAAAAGGACACTCCCTTTTGTGTTTGAACGGCAACAGCGATCTGATACACCGTGCCCTCTGGAGACGTGCACACAATAGGGAACAAAAGATTGTATACGCCTCTAAAGGGCAATTTTTCTACAGATGAATACATCTCCACAATATTTTCACGAAATAGATATATGGATTTTACTCAAAAACTAGGAATTTCCAAGGTGGGTTGATCCGTCGCAAATGGAAGAGTTTTAGAAAAGGGATATTAAGTCTGAATTGCAGCCAAGGAAATTAATTCTGGTTAAAATAAGAGCATTTTGAAACTTCACTTTCAAACTCGAAAACATTATTACATGAGAACAAAGAAATGTCTCCACAGTGATACACATTTCAGTATGCGTGCAAGAGTGTTTAAGAGCACTTCCAAACTGTACCCTACATGTACATTTATCCAGTGATTGTTGTTGTGTTTAGGGGTACTTGTTATTACCTTGGTTAGAAAATTCAAGGGGTCTTCTGGCTCTGTTGGTTTGGGGGGGTTGGGGGTTGGTGAGGGGTGAGTCTTACAATTGACAGGCGAATTATTTACATGTTATTGGGGGACCAAAAAATTCATTTTGTCCCCTGAAGTAGCACCATACAATATTCCAAATTGCTGTTCAAAGGCTGTTGGTCTGTTTTGGTGCAGAAATCCACCTTAACGAAAAAATTCATGGATTTCAACACCACAGCCACCCCATTTTGAAGAAAATTTTGTAAATCTGGAAAAAATACTAGATACATTAAAGGGAATATACATCATTTGCTTTTGCTGTAATTTTCAGAAATGGATGGAATTGGGGGGTTGGAAATATATAGCAAATATAGTTACACTGACTTTTTTGAGGTTTTGGGTTCGAAAATGCTATAAAAACCAAGAAAAACAATCATTTTCCTGTAGTCTGGTTTCCTGACTCCATATAAGAAGAAACAGAGCACTTTACATACATTGGGGAATTGTAAGGTCCAGGGAACCAGTCTAGCTGGCTTGTACCCGTTCATAGGTGTGTAATCCATTGCAAACAAGTGCGATGGTCAATTGGGGCCAGTATTTGAAAAAAAGCCAGTTTTTTCAAACGCTGGTCGGCCGACCAGCGTTGGAAATTGATACAAAAATACCACTTTTCTTGAAAATGACAGTATATAATACCAGGTGCCATGATTTTACAGGATGCTTTACACTGTCATTCACTAACAGTCCAGCAAGGTATTTCAAAATGATTTGGTAGTTTTATTTTTTGATGTTTGCAAATGTTGTATTTTCCCCTTAAATACCGTAGCAATTGCACATTTCAAACGATGACACCAACTACACTCTGCAAAGAGTTGAGTCACAGTTAACGAACAGCAACTTGTGAGTTATTTTAATCACAAATTTAGCAGTGTCATGCATTCTATCGTCATAGACGTGCAGGCATGCGTGATACGCACAGCTGTCAAACACAATACGACTCGTGTCCTGCTGCAACTGCCAGCGTATTCACAGAATTTAATTGTCATAACCAATTCCAGTTCAGGATGTGCACGCAGCTGAAATACTACTCTGTTGATGTGCGGTGTGTGTCGGCACCTATAAAAAGAATTGGGGGTGTTGTTTAATACCAAACTGAAGTTTAATGCAGAATGTTGATTGTTTGTACTTTCACTGTTGAATTTTTCTTGTCATGCATGGAAACCTTGGAAAAAAACCCACAAAATGTAATAAAAACTGTTAATCTGTATTGGTTCGGGGGGTGGGGGCTGTTTTCAAAATCTGTTCTAATTTGGGTTGGAAAATCTTTAATTTTTTTTTTCATGTTTGTTATTTTGTAAAAAAAGAAAGAAAGTCTTTTCAACATTTGAAAAATGGGTGTCCAAAAGTTGCCTTGATTAAAAAAAACAGTGAAAAAACAGCGTGCTCATTGAAGTTTAATGCTTAATTTTAGTGGTTAACAGACACCGTTCACACGTACGGCTAAAACCTTGTTTTCGTACCCCATGCCCAAAATCCACCTTTTAATCATGATATGCGTGGATACACTTGAAATTCTGCAAGAGCTGAGTCAACTTACATGTACTCGCGGCAACAAAATGTGTCATTGTGTTGAAAAAAATATATATATATGGAGGGGGTTAGGGGTCAAACGGTAAGGTTAAGATTTCATTCATTGGTGAAAAGTTGGCCCACTGCACATTACTAAAATAGGTTTGCAAACATAGACAGAGTTTTAAACCTGTATAAATTCTTTTGCTTGTTTGGTTGTTCAAATTGTTTTTGAGAGCAGTTACAAACAGTGAGAGCATGTACCGTACACTGCACATTGAAATAAGTTTGCCGATGAAGACAGATTTTAATACTTGAAATCTTTTGCTCTATTTCGGTTGTCAGATTTTATGAAGTTGCAAATGTGTTGATAAATGATTGATTCCTTTTTATCCGCGCTGGCTTTTAAGCCAAGAAAAGGGGATCTTGCGATAGTGTATTCCTTCCGTGTGTCCGTGTGTTCCATTTTGGTTAGGTTAACTGTTTAGTGCTGTCATATGAAAAGTCGGACTTCAATCTTAACCAAACTTGGCGACAATTATCTTTTGGGTAGGGGGACTTCAGATGACTTGAGACATTTGAGGTCAGTGGTCATCTAGGGGTCAAATGAGGTCATTGTTGATTTTGGTTAGGTCAGCTAAAAAGTGTGCATTTAAACTGACTGTAAATGCTGCCAGCATGCCAGGGGGATCGCTCAAGTTTAACTTGCAGTAGGCCTATGTTTATTTTTTTCAACAGGGCGCCACAATGTCCACATTACCATTCTGAGATAAGCAACTGCGCAGTAAGCGACCATGCCGGACAAGAAACAAAACCAAGGCCGTAAGAAGCAAGCTCCGAAACAACGAGGTGGCAAGAGCCCAGCTCGCAAGAATCCTCCCGGCAAGAGGCCCCAGAGCAAAAGCCCCGCCCGCAACAACAACCCCGCCCAAAGTGGCCCCGCCCGCAACAGCCCCGCCCTTGCTCCCCCGGCTGTTGGTCCATCCTCCCAAAATGCTCCGGCCGGCCAGCGTGGGCCCAGCCCACCGTCGCCGTACGACTACAACCCCACGACGCACTACAGCCGGCCAGTCAGTACCCATTCCATGGTGACAGCGGGACAGGACTTTCAGCACATTGATCCATGGTATTCCCAGCAGCAGGAGCAGCAGCAACAGCAACAACAACAACAGCAACAACAACAACAACAACAACAACAACAACAACAACAACAACAGCAGCAGCAGCAGTATTACCAGGATGACCCAGCATATAGGTAAATGTTCTCATCAGTGCACATAACACATGTATCACTATCTCATTTAGCCCATTTGAGCTACCAGCAGGAGAACAAAATGATATTAACCCTAACCATCCCAAATGCTCCAAAATCCTTTTTGCGAATTGGAGGAATTTGCGGGATTGAGGTTACATGGCTAAAGTGCGTTGCTGATTTCGGAGGACGCACTGTGTCAAGGTCTTGGGTCGGACCTTGTGTTGTTTATGCTCAGCCGAAGCATAAATTTAGTCCTTGATTATACTTGAAATCCTCCCTGCACTGCTCCAGGATGTCACTGGCTCTGCCTCAGCCTATTGACAGTCATAGCCGGAGGATTTTGCAGGATTGAGGCAGTGGTCACCTCTCCAAGGACCATATTCAAGAAATAATGGAGGAATTTGCAGGATTGAGGCTATATGCTATTTTCCCATGAGGCCAATTGGAGGATTTTGCAGGATGGAGGCTACATCCTAGTAAAAAGGCCTAGGGTGTTAGGGCTAACTTTAATTCATAAATACCCGAGACAGTTTTACCCATTCCTATTGGTCGAGAGTCCGTCACGAGGGTGGTTTTAAACGGTTGATAAAACACCGACTGGCTGGTTTTAAACACTTTTCCGGTGTCACATGAAATTTTGACTCTTATGAAATTGGGTCCCTTTTTATCCTTTTATTGGTTGAACGTTCACAATCTTCACGCGCAATACTTCACTCGTACCCTATTTGCAAGGCGTTGGGTGTGCAAAGCGCAATACTTCCAATAAGTCCGTATTGCATAGAGTCCTAAATTCACACTACACCAGCACCACTGCGTTCTGCACCACATCGCGCAGGATCTGAACTTGGGAGTAAAATTTGGTCAACTTTTTGACTTTTCATGCCGTTTGATCGAAAAGGTGAATAGAGATAAGACAGAGATGAAACTTTTCCGATTTTAATCGGAAATCCGACTTTTTGAATTTTCCAACGAAATTTCCGATTTTTTTACAGTGCGTTCCACAAAATTTGATTTTTTAACGATTTTTTCACAAAATGTCATTTTATTTCAATCATAATTTCGAAGAAAAGTTGATAGAAATGGCACATTAAAATCATCGCGAACGTAGTTTTAATCTCTTTCACCAGTCGTTATTGGAGTGTTTCAACGGTAGAAACACAGGGCATAACACTGATCGGAGCCTTCTCCGGCTGGACAAAAGGTTAAACATTGACAGGCGACATGGAAAATCACTGTGTCGCACGTGCATGCGAATATGCATGGAGATTTCTATTGTTACATTACTAAGTTAAGCAAATTTTTGCGTGCCTTTTGCTGTGCTTAATAAGCACTGCTAAGGCTTACGGTCTCCATGAAATAGACAGAGGCTCTGTTAGCAGAAAATTGTGTGCTTAGCAGCGCCGTGATATTGGGCCCTGGTCAACAATAGTAACCTTCGCTTTGGCTTGGACCATTAGCAGCGACTAGGCCCCTACCCGGTTGGAAACCAAATAACTGCTCCGTCACACTATTATCCACTTATAAAACCTCTCTTTTCACGATTTTTTGGTTTTCTTTTCAAGACCACATAAGGCCAAAAAAAAAAAAGTTTCCAGTTTCTGGTATGGAGCTTGCCCAAAAAGTGGTGCGGTGACGCTGTTTTTTTTTTTTTTTTTACCTGATTTTTTTGCTTCAAATGTCAGCTGATGACTGCAAATGATGCCCGACTAAACTTAGTGCAAATTATATGGGAGTCCAGAGAGGCCACATAAAGCTTATTCTTTACCATAACCCAATCTAAAAACACGTTAAAATTGTGCAGCAGCAGGATTCCAGTCAGACCAGTGAGTTTGGCGGTTTTCAGACATCATCTTCCATTGAAAATTTTTTTTTAAATTTTGCCGACGCGCATGGCTACAGCGACGCGCGCGCATACCAGAAACCGTAGACTTCTTTTTTTTGGCCTAATGTACCCCACTTTTTTTGGATCGAATATTCTATTAGACACTCACCGAGATTGGAAGCGCGACATTCTCCGCGAATGGACGGTCAGCACTCCCCAGCCCCCAATGGGAGGACTTCTCCCTGGCTCGACGGCAGGGCCTCCCCTCATCTGAGCAACAGGAACTCCCCACGCCTCCGTGACAGACGCTCAGAGCGCCTAGCGTACGGAGATGAGGATTACGCATATGAACCACGGGACAGAGACATTGAAATGGGCAACAGTGAGTATGGTTTTATTTATTTCAGAAATGGACAAAGATGCCACAAGCTGCTTTCTGACTGGATAGACTGTCAGCAAAAAAAATATACAATATCAAATAACTCAATGTTAAGTGGAGTGCCGTGACCCTTGTGGTCTGGAGCATTGAATTTGTGATCTGTGGGTCATTCTGCAGGTTGTGGGTTCGAGTCCAGCCCGGGGTTACGGTGTGTGTGCCCTTGGGCAAGGCAGTTTGTCACTCATTGCTTCTCTCCACCCAGGAGTAAATGGGTACCTGTGAGGGCAGAGATGGTTATTGTGGTTGATTTTAGCTGCCTTGCGCCAAAACGGCAGCATCGAGCTGTATACTCCTCAGGGAGCTGAGATGGTATTTGGAATGTTTAATTGGCCCGGTGATCAGAGGTACTTTTTGTAATAATAATGATGTAAAGTACGGTACTTTGATCTTAGTGTTAAAAACACCAAATAAGAACCCATTATTGTTTTTATTTAAGTCAGTATTCAAATAAGTGATGGTTTGATCCTATGTACATTGTACACGTAGAAGGTCTCATCTTAAAAGATCGTGCTAGGATTAAAAAAATGTGCTGTCCCTCTATTTTTTAATTTATTTATTGGCATTAGGCCGAGATAGTCCAAGAAAATCTTTTTACTTATTTCCAGTGGGGTCCTTTAGTAAAAGATAAGGCAAAAGTTACAGTTTTAGAGGTCGGAGGAAAACCCACAATGACATTCCAGAGAAAATCAACGGAATTAGTCAGGAACTGCAAACCAAATAGCCATACATTGGCCTTGGTGGGATTCGAACCTTGGTCACAATTGTGGAAGGTGAGAAGAGGACCAACTCGCCAACCTGACTCCCCACCGATGCACAAGGAACCTTGAGTGGGACTCGAACCCATGACATCCCACCCACCAGCGCAGAGGTCTTGGGTTCAAGTCTCAAACCAAGTGGGCTTGGGGATTTTCTGCCCCGAGCTCTTGTATGGCACTCTGTATCAGTGTTTGTGAAATTGTATCGATAAAGTGTAGTTCTAAGCCAATCTTGAATTTAACATCTCCTCAATCCAACGAATTCCATCGTACGATGCTAACTCCTTTTGGCAGTCTTGCTACCATCATGGAACCTTAACCCTAACAGAACTCAACCCATCAAACCCCAAACGGCATGTTTTGTTGGAATCTGTCAGGATGGGTACAGTACCCCTAAACTGACAGTCTTTTACATTGGGTTTGGCACACTTCCAGAAACTAAGTCAGAAATATGTGTGTGCAGTTTCCCATATGGTGTTGGAATTTGCCAGGATGGGTATGGTTCCTAGTAAATCATGCTAGGGAGTTAGGGTTGGGTTTCTCAAAATTCATAACTAAGCAAGGAGTGACTTGTCTTGCACACTTGTCATGAGTTGACCTAGCCCTGGTGGACTCCCTTTCCTCCCTACGTTACGGAGGGAGTCCTGCGTAAAAAGTGCTCAAAACCGAACGAAAACATTTCTGACCAATAATTTCAATATTTTTACCTTGTTGGAGAAGCTAAGTTTTACGTCGAAGTATTCTATGTGTCCTTATCTGTTGGGCTGATGGGTTCAGGAATTCCATATGCGATGCTGACCGACCTTAATCTGGAAAATAAACTCGAAAGCAACGTTAAACTTGGACGTGTTTGTAGACTCTTTTCATCAGTTTCTCACCGCCGAGTCTATTCTAGTCGTACATGATGAACGTCTGTGCAGCGTGTAGTCTGGTTCCCTAGACCGGGCAATTATTCTCGACGCTCATATCACGTCTGGTCCGGGGGCCAGACTATGCAGCATGAATATGCAGTGCGCACGCGCGATTTGCTTAGTAACCACCCTCATACGCACGCGCACTTACTTGAAGGCGCGGTCGCTAATCCAATGACCGAGTGTGTTTTCGCGCCAGTTACCAGAAACACCTTTCGGCTTTGGTCATTGGTTGAGCGTTTTCGCGACATCGGTTGACTGGAGTGACTTCACGGTTCCAACCAAAACTAAACAAATGAGGGCGCTAGCGTGCGTACGCGCTTTCGTACGTACGTACATGTACATTGTACATGACGTACGACTCTGGGAATAAACTGATGAAAAGAGACTACAAACACGTACAAGTTTAACGCTGCTTTAGAGTTTATTTTCCTGATTAACGTCAGTCAGCATCGCATATGGAATTCCTGAACCCATCAGCCCAACAGATAAGGACACATAGAGTATGTAGGCGTGAAATAAGCTTCTATAACGAGGTAAAACAAAACAAAACTCTGGTAAAAATGTTGGGTGGTTTCATGTAGAGAATTCTCGCCCTGGACGTTAGTCGTATTGCAATGAAGACTTCGTCCAACCTGGGCTAGAGTTGACTGACAGTATTGAGAGTCCCAAATTGTTGGACTAGAGTTGACCTTGTTTAGATTTGACAATTGTGTGTTCTTCTGTCTACTCACTCTGTAACACTGTGTATTGAGGGCCATTTGTTTCTATGTAAACAGCAAAATGTCAATAGGATTGTGTGTGTTGACCAAACAAGTTAAGGGCCCAATCTGCCTCGATGTTGTATATTCTGAATGCAAAGTAGTCGACATATACTGTACAAATGCATTTTATGCTGGTAGAATGCTGCTGCACATGTTTTTGCCGCAATGTACTCATTAGGACTGCCTCTGAACAGAGTTAGCCCGTCCCATCTCAATAGTAGGTTATTTACAAAATATGAAATTGTATGCAAAAACTGCTTGTCAGACCAAAATGACAGAAGCACAATCAATTTTGAGTTGTCATATGCGCGAAGTGTTGCATATTTGTATGCTACATGTACATGTACTTGTCCATTGACAAATGTACATGTTACATATGTTAATGAGGGCAGAACATGAGCATTTACATACATGACATATGTACATTGTATGTGTGCATTGTGCATGGTGTAATAATGTGAAGTACCATTGAGTAATGGAGGACAGGAGTCACTTAGAAAACGTGTACAAAACCAGTGGGAGCTGTTGCAAACAAGTTTTTTTTTAAGTAAACAAAAGAGCGATGATGAGGAACAATAGAAAATCCTCGATTTACACCATAAACATGTATGTGCGTACATGTGAATGTACTTAAAGGGAAAATACAACATTTGCAAACATCAAAAAATAAAACTACCAAATCATTTTGAAATACCTTGCTGGACTGTTAGTGAATGACAGTGTAAAGCATCCTGTAAAATCATGGCACCTGGTATACTGTCATTTTCAAGAAAAGTGGTATTTTTGTATCAATTTCCAACGCTGGTCGGCCGACCAGCGTTGGAAAAAACTGGCTTTTTTTTCAAATACTGGCCCCAATTGACCATCGCACTTGTTTGCAATCGATTACACACCTATGAACGGGTACAAGCCAGCCAGACTGGTTCCCTGACCTTACAATTCCCCACTGTATGTAAACTGATCTGTTTCTTCTTATATGGAGTCAGGGAACCAGACTACAGGAAAACGATTGTTTTTCTTGGTTTTTATTGCATTTTCGAACCCAAAACCTCAAAAAAGTCGGTGTAACTTTATTTGCTATAAATTTCCAACCCCCCAATTCCATCCATTTCTGAAAATTACAGCAAAAGCAAATGATGTATATTCCCTTTTCGTGAAATTCACAGAAAAGTGTGACTAGCAAGTGTTGTTCCGGTATTGTTGCCCTGCAGACATGCTCAATGTGTCATTGGACTGACAGGACTTCTGAAAACCTCCATTCATTGGTCTGTCAAGTTTGAGCGAAAGAATTTGGTCATACATTGTACATTGTCCAAAAGTATTGTAAGGTGTTTGATACCCATTTTTATAACACCTCACCCACAGATTCTGTGTCTTGATTGGCCGAGAGCGAGTCACATGTTACTTTCTAATTTTGCTATCTCTCTGTGCACGGCCAAAAGTACTATGCGCATAGCAACCAAAGTACTATACCATTAGCAACCAAAGTACTATTTCCACGGCGTGGTATTTGTGTGCAAATGCATGCTGGTGTGCGCGTTGCGTGTTGTGCGTAGCGCGTATTATTCCAAAGAGAGCGCGCCGCAGACTTGGGTTCAAACATTTCGTGAAGGGGTAGTTTTTAAGAGAGAAATACATTTTCCACCAATTTTGTATTGAAATTGAAGCTTATTTCAACTGTGTTCAGATTTTAATAATTTAAAATATTAAAATCAAGCACAATCTGTGGGTGAAGTGTTATAAAACAAATATTGAATGCTTTATCTCATGGTGAAGTAAAACTAGCCTCCCTCGGTGATCCATGGACCATTCTATTTTCCCTCGGCTTCGCCTCGGGAAAATAGAATGGTCCATGGATCACCTCGGGAGGCTAGTTTTACTACACCACTCGAAGCATTCAATATTTGTATAATGGACTGGCATTCCAAAGTGATATACCGAAACAACAATGTGTCAACCAAAAACGACTTTGGTTTTCAGGTGAGCTATGCGTACTGATTTTTCATCAACGGGACTCTGACATGTCTGACGTCATTTCACACGAGTGCAACAGTTGATCTTTTGCGCATACATGTAGTCACTTCTGATAGATCGATGCATTAACCCTAACTCCCTAGGCGTTTTTGCTAGGATGCAACCTCAATCCTTCAAAATCGTCCAACTGCCTCCATGTAAAAATAGCATACAGCCTCAATCCTGCAAAATCCGTCGTTATTTCTTGAATGTGGTCCTTGGAGGGGTGACCACTGCCTCAATCCTGCAAAATGCTCCAGCAATCACTGTCAATATGTTGAGGCAGAGCCAGTGACATCCTGGAGCAGTACAGAGCATTTCTAGAATAAGTTAGGCCTAAATTTATACACTGCTGAGCGTAAACAACACAAGGTCCGGCCCAAGACCCTGACACAGTGCATCCTGCGAAATCGGCCACACATTTTTTTTGCCATTTAGCCTCAATCCTGCCAAATCCTCCATTTTGCAAAGAGGATTTTGGAAGTTCAGGGTCAAACGAAAAAAATTCACAAAAAGCAAATGGGTCAATGACCTTTAACCCTTACCCTACTTGACCCTCCAACGCATGCCAATATGTGCCTCAAGAAAATCTCCTATGTTTTTTGCATGGCCCTCCAATATCTGCCATGTCATTTCAAGGGTAACTGGACAGGCACTCCAATACATGCCACAGAGAACAATGAGAGTCCTCTGATAACAAAGTGAGTGCCCCCAGCTGGTCAGTATCAGGCACCCTCCAGGGCCTCCAACTCCTGCCAATTGGAGCCTTCACTGTCAAGATAGTTTATCTGCCAAAATACTGCAGCTGGAGGGCATTGGCATAACCAACTGACATGCAGTAAACTACCCTCAGAGAGTAAGGGTTAATTCAGAATTCTTCTGAATATTTTAGTTATTCATAAGATAGAATTTCGCGTCGGGGTGATGTAAATCAAGTTAGGTTTTGCCCTTCATGGATATATAAACACTGTATACTCAGTGTGTTACCTCCCGAGTGAAAGTTGGAAAAAATCACTCGGGTGGGACTCGAACCCAAGGCCTCCTGCTTTCTAGTGCAAATGTCTTACCACTCAACCACTGAGCTGACGGGATTGGTTGGCTGGTTCGAATCTAATGTGGCAAAACCTAATTTGATTTGAATAATTCAGTTCTTTCTGTTCACAATTGAATCCATTCGCAATTGTTTTTATTCCTGATCAGTTAACCCAGGCTTCGAGACCAGCCCGCTTGCATCGCCCAATGAGCTGCAGCCTGCCGGCTATTACCCTGATCATCATCATCATCATCATCGCTCTGGCTCCAACGCCTCCAGCGTGTCCTACCGCTCCAGCAACGACAGCGAAAATGAGATTACCGAGAGGGAGCTGATTGCCGCCAACCTGCGGGATCCCTCCTCCGTGATGGAAATGCTTCCCAGTAGACAGCTAGGTAGGTAGCCATTATGATGCTACCTTTTGTTTTTCTTTTGAATTAAAGGGAAGATACAACATTTGCAAGCATCATAAAACAAAATGATCAAATTATCACGAAATATCTTACTGGATTGTTAGGGAATGGCAGTCCAAGCATCCTGTAAAATAGTGGCTCCTGGTGTGCTGACATTTTCAAGAAAACTTGTATTTTTCCCAATGCTGGTCGGCTGACCAGCGTTGGAGAAAACTGGCTTTTTTTTTAAAAACTGCTCCTAATTTTTCATGTTTAGTTATTCCGCATTTTCTTTGCAATTGATTACACACCTATTTTGAAGCTTATTATCTGGATTTTAATGAAATAGTGTTTATATTTCTAACAATGTTCAACAGTTTAGCTGATGCTTTTAACTGAAGAAATTAATTAATAAGTGCATACAAACCATTTTGTCTTAGTATGTCCGACACCATGGTATTTCGAGTCAATTTCTACTCAAGGGCGGATCCAGAGAGGTTACTGTGGGGGGAGGGGGGGGGGAGGCTCTCACGTTAAAAAAAAAATTGTCTTATTTGGGAACATTTGGGTCACTCCCGGGGGCGGGGCATCCCCCTGGACCCGCGACTGCTACTACTGCAAAAGAAATGTTGACGCATGCATGTGGAAAACTATAAAGTCCGTAGGGCTCATTTTCTGTGATCCTATCATATTTTGAGAAATCTCAGACATTGGAGGACTTAACTCTGTATGTACATTTTAATAGTACTACTATTGTTTATTCCTTCGAACTGTTGATTGCAAGCCTGTACAAACCCATAGAGAGTAGACAATGGAGAAATAGTCAGTTTTAGAGGAGGCAAGGGAAAAACACAGACAATGTTGGGAGGAAATTTCACAGAAACAGGAAGAGACTGAAAACAACGTCCGTATGTGAACCAGGGCAGGAATCGAACCCGGGCCATGACAATGGGAGGGGAGGAAAGGACCCCTGCACGAACCTCACGCCCCAAGCGTATATTAACCCTAAAGGGGCCGGGTTATTTTGACCATCTCTCAGCCGGGGGGGAGGGGGGGGGGGCGGATTCATCGATTCATCAGCCATCGAGTGACGAAATTTTTTGAAACTCGGCACATGCATAGAGCAACTCTTCCTAAACATACCCAAGAAATTTCATGACTATAGGTCAAAGGGTTTTGGAATTATGACTAATTAATTATTCATATGTACGAATGGCAATTCTGCTCTGTGTACACGACGTATATGCGAAAATTCAGTTTTCATGGCGCATAGCGCCGGAAAATTTTTCGCTACGCGGCAACCCGTGGTCCGATTTTTATGTTTTTGGTATCAAAAGATGCGCAAAGCTCGAGGCTAAAAAGTCATAACAGCTCGGGTCGCGAAAAAATTGTTGAGGGGGGGGGGGGCGGATTCCGCCCCCCTCGGCCCCTTTAGGGTTAAACATATTCATGAGGATTGTTGTTTATACCCATCTGCCTGTAGGTCGAACCTTATCATCTGCCACCTCAAGTAACAAATGGCTCCGCAAACGCAACCAGAAATCCCTGCGACGCGGGCGGTCCATGTCTGCGGCGAGGCGCGCCGATGACGACGTGGGCGTGGAAATGATGATAGAGAGGATCCTGGCCGATGAGGACGGTGCCGAGGGCACGGGCAGGAAACACTCCCTCAACAGGAGAAACACCATCCGGAACATACAGGGGAGTCTGGGCACCAAGCGAAAAGTCAGGTACGTGCTCCTGTTATCGCATGGGTTTTAGATAAAGCCTATGAAGCATCATTTGCAATTTCAGTGAGATGCCAGAAATTATACTGAGCTCAGAAACAATTTGCTTAATAGATGAAGGTTACCAGCTGAAATTTCATGACAGGCATATTGACATTCACTGGTTCCTACCTGATTTTTTGCTTAGCAGGTAAATTTCATAAGCAGTTCTTTCTGCTTAGGGCCCGTCTCAATTCATATCCGGGATGAGTTCTGGACAAGATGGGGGAAGAATCACTTACCTTGTCTGGGGGAAATTTTCAGTAGCAATTGCTTGACTCCCCAATCTCACCAATAAGTTTACTGCGGGAAGATGGCGGGGAAGTTGTTTAGAATCCTGCAACTTATACCTGATACAGTGACCGCAACTTGTCCGGAACTCGATCGTCCCAGATATGAATCGAGACGAACCCTTAGCAGCTTTATCTTATTGGGTCCTGGAATTACAGTTGACTCTCGTTTAATACAAACTCAATCAAGTGTTTATACGTTGGTGAAGGGCAAAACCTAATTTGATTTACATCACCCCGATGCAAAATTTCATCTTATGAATAATAAAGTGAATAAACCTAGCGAATTTGTTTGTTATATCAGAATTTTGTATTAAGAGGAACATCAGTCCCATTCATTGTGCACATAAATGCACAGTCGGGACCAAGGCTTTATGTTTGCTATAACCAGAATTTTGTATTAACAGTGTTCAACGAGAGTCGACTGAACTCATCTATTTTTTAAAATGTTTGTCATTTTTATAATTTGGCACACAGATTTTAAATTAACATTATTTTCATTGCTGTGTTTGCAGGGCGGAAGTACGGAAGCACTCGGACAGAAAGAAGCACAAGTCAGTAGGAATGTTCAAGTACTGGCGCTACCAGATAGCCTATGTACGTACATAATCTTGTAGTGGTACTATTCTGGTTTCTACTTCATGCAAATGCTATTGCGTCGTGAGTTTGAGATACAGATGGCAATCTTCATGCTGCAAATATAAGGGACCATGACCATTAAGCCCTGGTATGAAAAGGGCCCCCCGGTACCTTGTCCGGTCCAGAGCCAGTCCGGTCTTCAGCCCAGTCTCGTCCGGTACATGGCCCTGTCTGACCACAAGTTTTGAAGTCAGTCAGGCGCATCAATTTATTGCCCTTTAGAGAGCGTCCAGAGCAGAACAATAGCAGACTTACCGGATTAAAGATAAAATCCTTCCAAACGCCTTTGGTAAATTACGGTCCCATTGTGCGCGAAACCGCATGACAGGGGTTTTGATCTGTGCCGATGAAAGTGTTCTATTGTTTCGCGCTGAGATATGAAAACCACAAGCGGGTTTCTTCTGGGATTTTTACATGTGTCAATACTTGCACACAATAGACCCCAGGATAGAGGAGTTCCTGATTAGCAACCGGACCAACTCCTGGGCCGGTTGCTGGGACGGTACGAGAGGACTTCTTGGGAGGGGACGAGCTTACCGGGGGACCCTTTTCATACCGGGGTTGAATGGTCACGGTCCCTAAAGCAAAAAGCTTCATCATGCTTAATTCAAATCTCAAACCCACTGTCAGAACTAAGCATTGTGGTCACGGTGGTGGACTGGACTATGACTCTGGATTTGAAGGAGCAGGGTTAAAGAGGTTGTGGAATGCTCGAAGACATTTCCGTCATTTTTCGGGTATATGTAGCCTAAGGTGTGATGAAATAAAAACGACTATTGTTTCTGTCATAAAATGAGTACAAAAGGTACTTTTGAGAGCTGTTTGTCAAGTCCTGTCATGCCTGTTTCGACCCGAACGTGCAATTTGTGTAAAAGTCGTCGTTGCGGGCAGCAAACAAAACACAGTAAATCGTGACGTAATAAACAGGACACCCGATGCAGAGTAGCATAAACGCTGCCCGCAACGACGACTTTTACACAAATTGCACGTTCGGGTCGAAACAGGACCTGAAAAATAGCTCTCAAAAGTACCCTTTGTACTCATTTCATGACAGAAACAATAGTCGTTTTTATTTCATCACACCTTAGGCTACATATACCCAAAAAATGACGGAAATGTCTTCGAGCATTCCACAACCTCTTTAATAATGATGCTAACCCTAACGCCTGAGGCATTTTGTGGAGCGCTGTGATCCAGTGGTTACGGTGTTCGACTCGCGTGCCGTGGTACATGGGTTTGGACCCTGACAGGGAACATGGTGCTTGTGTTCTTGGGCAAGACACTTCATTACAATTGCCTCTCTCCACCTAATATTTGGTCTCTGGTCAGACCAAAGTTCCGGAATTGACGCGGCCACGCGGCTTTTTTTTTTTTTTTTTTTTTTTTTTTTTTCTTCAAGCTTGGATTGTACAGACAAGGTGGGTACTATTTTGCTTTTTTGGTGTCCTCATGTACATTGGTGTCCTCCATAATTTACCTTGGTGCTTTCGATCATTTGCCTTGGTGCAATTTCCCATTCCTTGTTGCTCTTTGGTAAAAAAAAATTGAGGAGGTGCGGAAATAGAGGGCGCTGTTGGAACATTTTGGGAAAAAAAAAGATCGACGCACATGATTAAAATCGAGGCGCGCGCTGACCAGAGACCGACTTTTTTTTTTTTTTTGGCCTAAGCACCACATAATTATTATTATTATTTTGGCTAGGATGCAACCTCAGTCCTGCGAAATCCCCCAACTGCCTCCGTGTAAAAATTGCATACAGCCTCAATCCTCCACAATCGTCCGTTATTTCTTGAATGCATTTCTTGGAGGGGTGGCCACTTCCTTAATCCTTCAAAATCCTCTAACAAATCACTGTAATACAATGAAGAATTACCGATGGTGTCCAGAAGCAGTGAGGATGATATCTAGTATAATCTCGGCATAGTTTATGCACGGCTTAGCATAAACAACAAAAGGTGGAGCTTAAGACCTGGACATTATCTCTATCGTACCTGAACCCATCAAAATCTATACCCCTGTTCTGGAGTACTTCGGCGGATTCAGGATACCTCCATATTGAAAACGGAGGGAGTTTGATGGATTCAGGATTGTAAGCCTAGCGGTACTGCAGGATTTGGATGGATTCAGGACACCTCCATACTGAGCAGTCACCAACATCAAAATTTTTGTGCATGACAAAATAGGTGGATTTTGGCAGATTCAGGATACTTTCTTGTAAAAGTGCTCAAGGGGTAAGGGATAAAAATGGCATGCAGCATCAATCCTCCAAAAATGCCTGTTTGAATTTTGGAGGATGGAGTATTTGAAATCTGTCGATCCTCCAAAAACCCTCCTCAATTCGCTCTTTTCACGCTCCGCCATTGGGCATGCAGAGCCTCGATCTGGCAACTATACACAATAAAAAAAAGCCGGTTCAGTGATCTGAACCCCGACACGGGAATCACTGAACCGGCTATATTCATTGTGTAACGTTGCCAGATCGAGACTCTGCATGCCCTTGGCGGAAGTGTGAAAAGAGCAAATCCTCCAAAAACGAACCAGGCAGCTTTTGAGGAATTTTGGAGTATTGAGGAAGGTTTTTTGGAGGATTGAGGCGGGTAAGGGTTAATGTTCCCCTATGTTGTCTGCCCAACAGGGTTGGGAGAGCTTCAAGGAGTGGCTGTCCAACCTGACCTACTCCCTGGAGCTCTGGCGTGCCCCCATCAAGAAGATCGAGGGCAACTTTGGCAGCGGCGTCAAGTCCTACTTCATCCTGCTCAAGTTGCTCCTGCTGCTCAACATCCCGGTCTTCATCCTGTCATTTGGCTTCATAACCGTCCCACAGCTGCTGTACCTGCCCAGCCCCTCGCAGAACAACAGCCGACCCTTCACGGGGGCGGAGCTACTGACAGGACAGGTGGGTGGTTTTAAAAAAAAGAAAGAAAAAGGACGGTTAACCAACTTAAACTCTAATCCTGCACACTTACTGAAATTTGTATCCTTGTGGAGACATTTCTTTGTTCTCCTGTACTAAAGTTTTCGAGTTTGAAAGTACCGGGTACAGTTTCGAAATGCTCTTAATTTAACCAGAATTAATTTCCTTGGCTGAAATTTGGACTTGATATCCCTTTTCTAAAACTCTAGCATTTGCGACGGATCAACATACCTTGGAAATTCCTAGTTTTTGAGTAAAATCCATTTTGTGAAAACCTTGTGGAGACGTATTCATGTATAGAAATTGCCCTGTGGAGACGTATGCAATATTTTGTTCACTATTGTGTGCATGTCTCCAGAGGGGACGGTGTATCGGATCAGCAGCTTGTTGTATGAAGCCATCAACACCAGTGTCAAAAATGCAGTTTCTGAAACTTGGCAGAATCTTGTTGGACAATCATTTTATGAAAATCTTGCCTTGTGACAGATTTCAAATCTTGAGCTTCCGATGAATGATAACGATGAAATCTCCATGTACACAGGTGTTTCAGCATCATCTTAGGGCCTGTTCATGGAGGGTAGTAAAGTGAAAGCCAAAACGAGTTTGTGACATCATGGCAAGTTTGCACCCTGCAGATTTGCAAAATTTGAGCACACTTCAACCTCGCTTCATGACGTCATATTTGCTTGTCCATTGTGTTCAGTGTAATCAGGCCATTTTTGCTAGGATGCAACCTCAACCCTGCAAAATCTTCCAACTGCCTCTAAGTCAAAATTGCATACAGCCTCAATCCTGCAAAATCCTCTGTTATTTCTTGAATGTGGTCCTTGGAGGGGTGACCACTGCCTCAATCCTGGAACATCCTCCAGCAATCACTGTCATTATGTTGAGGCAGAGCCAGTGACATCCTGGAGCAGTGCTAGTATAATAAGTCAAGAAAAAGGCAAAGGGGACCAACCTGTGTTAACAGGAACGCAGTGCCCATCTCTCTTTCATTAGCAATTGTGCCAGGCTCATATGCTGCTGTGGGGGGATCGCCACACCTCCTCCACAGCGAGTCTGTTACCTTCCCAGCATTGAATAATGCCAGTACCCATTTAACACCTGGGTTGAGCGGAGTAATTGAGGTAAAGCGCCTTACTCAAGGGCACAGCACGTATGGCCATGGCGGGGCTCAAACCCACAACCTCACGATCATGAATCCTGTGCTCCACCGATAGACCACACTAGGCCTAAATTTATGCACGGCTGAGCATAAGCAACACAAGGTCCAGCTTAAGACCTTGACACAGTGCATCCCCCAAATTGGCTACACAATTTTGCCGTATAGCCGCAATCCTGCAAAATCCTCCATTTTGCAAAGAGGATTTTGGGGGATTTGGAAGGTTAGGGTCAAACATTGACAGTGTCTTGTGTTTTGTGTGCAGGGTTGGTTGATTGAGACAGAGCTCTACTTTGGTTACTACACCAATCAAACCTTCAATCTCGCCGGCAATGCATTCTACAACATGCCTGTGGCGTATCTGTTTGCCAGTAGTGGGTATCTACTGCTCATCTTTGTGGTCCTGTCACAGGGGTAAGTGTTGAAGCCAATTATTCCCCTTCCATTTGTTGAATTTGTTTATGTTTGTGTTGTGTGTATATATATGGCCTGAGCACAACTATGGCCTGAGCACAAATGTAGTTAGGTCGGTACCTTGTGCCCAAGACCTACCAGCAACTTTTCCTCGGATCCGCTGATTTCCTTGTTTTTTTACTTCTTATGAGCGCCATTACACATAGAATTTTTTCTTTAAAGTCTTGTGTGGTTTAGAATTTCCATGTTTTTTTCTAAATTACTAGTTGCATGCAAGAATATTTCTAAATTTGTGCTGATTTTTTTCTCCCTTAGCATGTCTAAGACGTACCGTAAGTACTTCATCACCGGTGACCGGCAGCATAACTTCTACACTTCCAAGGTGTTCTGCGGATGGGATTACAACATCACGTCTGAGAGTACGGCCAAGCTCAAACAACGCAGCATCTATCTGGAACTCGCTGTGAGTGTTACAGAGAAAGCAACATCTTGCATGCTTGCTTCAAACAGAGTGATCATTATGATGTCAGTAACAATTTTTAATTTTCGTTACTGTGACAGGTGTTCGTCAGTGAGTCAGAATTTTTATACTCCTCAATTCACAACGCAACACCCCCAGGTGCATTCTGCGCGACATCGCGACGCGCCTGCCAATCTCCATAGAAGGAGGTGCTTACATCTTACTCGCCAGCTGGACACTCCATTATTTAGCTAGGGGGGTGTTTAAAAAAACATGAAGAGAAATTGTTGAACAAAATTGGGTTTTTTGGTCCCAAAAGTTTAGATTGTTTTTGACCGAAAAGGTATTTATGAATAGGAATAAATATGTGCTTGGTCGGTATTAGTCACTCTGTTTAAGACCGCTTGGAGTCTGGGTGCTGATAATTACCTGAGCCGAAGGCGAGGGGCCTTCGTCTCGGGTAATTATCAGCACCCAGACTCCAAGCGGTCTTAACCCTTTCATTACCACATTGTTTATTGACTTGGCTCTCCCTAGGACCAAATTGTTTGCTCAGTCATGCGGAAATCACTAGAGCGTGAACAAAATGACCACAAGTCCAAAACTCACTTTTTTCAACCCAGATTTTCACTGCCAAGGAGTGATTTAAATCATAGGTGTTGTGTGTAAAGTTTGTTCCTTGAACCTTACTCTTGTATGTGATGTAAAAATGAAGTCCATATGTGTAAATATAAGAAAGTTATGCCTGTTTGTTCATCTGGTTCCATTTATCAAACTGCAAGCCATTTCACCACATGACCAAATGGCACTCCATACCTCAATTTGTGCGTGGATACTACTCAAGCACTTTTCTCATTTTTTTGTAATGGTAACAATATAAATAAACTTCACCATTTAGAACGATCCGAAACACTCTTTCAGCTGGTATATGGTTGATGTATGGACGGCCAAACATATCGACATGCTGCCTTTCTGAAAAGTAGTGAATATATCTGTGTTGAGGGTGTTCTGTGTGTGTTTCCTGGTCGACTAAAGTCGCCCATGGGAACCAGCAGGGGGGTTCTTCTTGTGGACAAAAGTCGCCCATGGTAAGGAAAGGGTTAAACAGAGTGAAGAAATCCTCCCGAGCACACATTTATTCCCTTCTTCAAAAATGTCAAGAACTCGCTAATCCTTGTTTTCCTTAAATGACATTCTCCTTTCCCGTTGCGTTTCTGTATTACCATTCCCTCAGTCCATTGTTTGAAAGAAAACATGTTTATTTTCAAACCACAGGAGCATCTAGCGTCCCACCACGGGTCTAGGACGAGGGACTGGACTTTCATCTTGAAGTGGGCTCTGCTGAGGCTGGCCATGAACGTCGTCGTCTTTGGCATCATCGCCGGGGCTTCCTATCTCATCTTCTTCGTCTACAAGGAGAGTGCTTTCACGGTACTAATAGTGTTTTCGTGTGATATACAAAAATCAAGATGCTTTGTGTGGAATTCAGACAATTTAAAGATATAGTCCATCATTTGTAATTTGTGCATTTTGTTCGTTTGAAGCAACAAAAGAGTTCAAAATCTAATGAAGGATACTGAGCAACTAACCTGATGAAGTTTCAGCTAAGCTTCAGCTGTACATTACGAGAAAAACAGAATTCTAAGATCTCAATTTCAAATCAAAAAATACTGAATCATGTTTTGAATTGTTTTGAATTGCAGCTTTACGCGACGTCGGGCACTGATCCGACGAATTACAACAGCCGCGCGCGCGTGTGCGTCGTTCCAATACTTGAGCGCGCTGCGCTGAATAACAAGACGAACTACTAATTTAAATTTTCCTACGGTGCTTCTTAAGAATCACCGTTGGAAATGCCTTCTTTCGTTAATTACTTCAAAATGACAGCTTCCCAGAAAGAATAATTTCACAGGGAGTTTAGTTCCCTTACTATCTTTCAACCAAGTTTGTTTTTCAACAATAATTACGCCAGTTACTTTTCGGATGGCTGCAAATGATGGACTCTAGCTTTAACTGGTCCCATATCAGTCCATGTTCACGTTGTGTTAATCCTTAGCTGATTCTCTCCTGTACCTGGGAGGAGCTTATTCAAAGTGCATTCGCAGAATTTCCCCAAGTATTTAAGCAGAACCAACAGCTATAGCTATTTTAAGCTGCCGTTGCTCCGGTACTCACTCTTCAATAAATAGCGCCCTTCATAACTTCACCCTGCACGCCCTGGTAGTTTACTGAAAGACGACTTTCAACACGTGCCGGCTATTGACTTATGTCATTTTACAGTTTTTGCACTTACTACCTACAGCAATGGGTGGCTTTCCCCTTCTATTCCTTGGGGAAAATGATAGCCATTTGTGGCTCTTCTGTTGATGTTTTTTAACAACAATGTTCGGTGCGTTTTGTACACTCAAATCGGGAGCCGAGGATGATGTTCCGTGTAGCCCCAACATGAAATTCCATCCTATGAATAACTTACAGGGTAAAACGCAGATTCTCTATTTACAACCCATTGATTGAACAAGTCTCAAGATATTTTTCTTGCGTGTTTGTACTTTCAGACTGATGTCATCATCATAGGAGACCTAGCCATAGCCCTACTGGTGAGCGGCTACAACCTAGTGCTTCCCTACATCTTCAGCGTCATCGGCAACCTGGAGAAATACGAAAACCCACGCACAACGCTCTACTTTTCTCTCTTCAGGTAAATAATAATAATAATAATAATAACATTTATAAAGCGCCTTTTCCTAGGGTTACAAAGCGCTCAGAAAATGACCCCAAAATACAACAATGACAAGGATAAAATAATGGAAAACCAAATGGAACTGAAACCACTGCCAGGCCCAGGCCAGCGCCACGGCGCTCAGACAAGAGAGCCCAGCGATAGAATCGCAGGGAAACAATCAAAGGGAGACCGAGGAGTGCAGGGGCTCTCTGAGACGAGCGCACGCGGGCCAGGCCTGACGAGGTAGTTACAGATTAAACGAGTGTGTCTTTAATGACCCTTTAAACTTTTCCAAGGAGCTAGAATTTTTGATGGAGTGTGGAATGGAATTCCACATCCTAGGGCCAGCGATTGAATTGCCCTGCCACCTGCTTTTCTGGTGGTTCGGGGAATGTACAAGTTACCTTGGGAACGTAGGTCGCTCTTCGTTGGCCTGGTGTCTAATGAATTGGAAATGTACATGGGGAAAATACTGGAAATGCATTTATACATGTTCAAAGCCGTTTTATACATTATTTCTCTATTGTAAGCCAGTGCAGCTGTTTGAACAGTGGAGAAGTGGGAACATGTTTTAGGTAGGAGAAGATTACACGAGAGGCTCTATTTTGGATTTTTTGTAACTTGACTAAGTCAGATTGTTTGAGACCAGGTAATAGAAAATATTTTCAAACCGCTATATTTTCAATTGTGACCAAGCTAAGAAAGTAAAGCCGTTATAAAAAAAAAAACCAAGAATACTGGAAAAGAAGAGCATCCGTTCCTTTCCAAATTTCAAACTCAATTTCTAGTTAACAATACAAGCCATCAGGAATGGACACAAAGTGCACATACACAGTACACAGTACTACCTATTGTCACATTGCATCCAACTCCCCCCCCCCCCCCACTACTTTTTCAGTTCAAATGACCAAAACAATTTTAGGAATTTATCGTCATCCCCCATATGCCCTTGAGCACAGAACTGTGTACTGAAAGTCACACATATAATCTCCATTTCATTTAAAAGTTTTGTTCAATGTTTTATAATAATTAATAAATACCTTGGAGAGTTGAAAGCTTCTGACTGGTCGAGACTCGATCACGTGGGGTGTATTAAAGGGAATGTACAACATTTGCTTTTGCTGCAATTTTCAGAAATCAATGGATTTGGAGGATTAGTATGTCATAGCAAATATTGTTAAACTGACTTGTTTCACGTTTTGGGCTTGTAGATGCTGGAAAAACCAAGAAAACCCATCATGTTCTTGTAGTCTGGTTCCCTGACCCCACTTAAGATTAAACGGAGCAATATATAGACTTTGGGGAATTGTAAGGTCAAAGAATCAGTCTAGCAGGCTTGTACCCCTTCACAGGTGTGTAATCAATTGCAAAGAAGATGCAATATGAAAAATTAGGAACAGTTTTTTGAAAAAAACGCCAGTTTTTTTCCAACGCTGGTCGGCCGACCAGCGTAGGAAAAATATAGTTTTTCTTGAAAATGTCAGCACACCAGGAGACACGATTTTACAGGATGCTTTAGACTGTCATTCCCTAACAATTCAGTAAGGTATTCCGAGATAAATTGATCATTTCGTTTTTTTATGTTTGCAAATATTGTATCTTCCCTTTAACATGTGCTTTAAAGCTATAGTCCATCATTTGCAGCCATCCGAAAAGTAACTGGCGTAATTATTGTTGAAAAACAAACTTGGTTGAAAGATAGTAAGGGAACTAAACTCCCTGTGAAATTATTCCTTCTGGGAAGCTGTCATTTTGAAGTAATCAACGAAAGAAGGCATTTCCAACGGTGATTTTTAAGAAGCACCGTAGGAAAATTTAAATTAGTAGTTCGTTTTGTTATTCAGCGTAGCGCGCACAAGTATTGAACGATGCACACGCGTGCGCGGTTGTTATAATTCGTCGGATCAGTGCGCGACGTTGCGTATAGTTGCAATTCAAAACAATTCAAAACATGATTCAGTAACTTTTGATTTGAAATTGAGATCTTAGAATGCTGTTTTTCTCGGAATGTACAGCTGAAGCTTAGCTGAAACTTCATCAGGTTAGTTGTTCAGTATCCTTCATTAGATTTTGAACCCTTTTGTTGCTTCAAACGAACAAAATGCACAAATTACAAATGATGGACTATAGCTTTAAAGACTGGCTTCAAGAACAAGCAAATAACCCCTGAACCAGCATATTGATCCAGCATCATGTAAGCCAAATGATTGGCTAAATACAGCAGTACTGGCTCAACCACCATCGTATGAAGACTTACGCGGGCCTATGCAACACCTTTCCTATGCGGCTCGGTCCATTAACAGCGGCCACCCCCCCAACCCGGTCGTTATCACGCAGTGAAGACCGGGTCCTCACACTGTTAGCCCCTAATTAAGAATGAATCTAGTATTACGCATTTCCTTCTGTGGTTTATTTGATGAGTTTGAAAAGTTGGCGCCTGCATTTTGTTTTTGTGTGAGCAGGACGTTCCTGATGAAGGCCACCATCTTGGTCGTGTTGGTGTACCATTGGTTCAGCCAGATTGAATGCATTGGCGAAAACGCAGCCAATACACTGCCATGTCAGGTGAGTGCATGTCTCCCCCCACCCCCATCCCCACCCCCTCCGCTCCCCCCCCCCAAAAAAAAATCTAGAAATGTAAGGTCAATGTAAAAAGAGAAATAAAAGTCTGCTAGAAACTGCTTAATAACTGACATTTTGGTCGTAGCAGATTCTTTGACATGTTTGAAGAGGATCCTTCACAGATCTAAGTGTTAGGCCGTGAAAATGCTAATACTGAGAGCACGATATAAATGTCTTTTTGTATTGTATTGTATTGTATTGTATTGTATTGTATTGTATTGTATTGTATTGTATTGTAAATCCCCCCCCCCCCAAAAAAAAAGTAATGGGTTAAAAAAAAAGGTGTTCATAATCCCTACTTTCTTTTAAATAAACCCCAGAATGCATGAGAAAGTATCAATATTTCATGATTTTCGAGGGAACATGTCGCTATTAGACCTGCAATACACCCAACTCCCCTGCCCCCTCTCATGGGGCTAACATTGGTACATAAATGTCCCATTTTGTTTGTTTTGACCAGGACTTGTTCGTTAAAACCAGGAATAAATTTTAAAATAGCGTGTTGAGTTTCAATCATCACCAATAACCAAATGTTACATGTATGTTAATACCAGATTTTAGATCAATTGAATGATTAGATTGAATGATTTGATTGATCGAGTGATTGATTTTGATTGATTGATTTTGATTGATTGATTTTGATTGATTGATTTTGATTGATTGATTTTGATTGATTGATTGATTTTGATTGATTGATTTTGATTGGTTGATTTTGATTGATTGATTTTGATTGATTAATATTGATTGATTAATATTGATTGATTGATTTTGATTGATTTTGATTGATTGATTTTGATTGGTGGATTTTGATTGATTGATTTTGATTGATTGATTTTGATTGATTTTGATTGATTGGTTTTGATTGATTGATTGATTGATTGATATTGATTGATTTATTGGTGCAGTGCTGGGAGACATTCCTGGGGACCGAGGTCTACAAGCTGGTGGTCGTTGACTTCGTTGTCCAGATACTGGCCACGTTCTTCCTGGAATTTATTAGGAGGTATGTCTCTCGTGAAGGTTGTTACAACATCTCAGGTCTTCTATTTGTCCCCATCCTCAGTGATCAGTAACTGAAAACAAACTCTTCCATATCTGACTGACATCACAGATTCATTTTCACGTAGTTGGTGAACAGAAAATATTAAAAACTAAAAACAAAACTACAGTTCTATCTCATTTTTTAGTAACTGTTGGTATCCGTGATGGTTGTAATCTAAGCATGGCTATAAGGGGCATTTGCCTTGTGTGCCAAGCTCCTTATCAATTTGGATATGTCCGATACCCTGGTATATGGACATCTGAGTCACAAACCAAGGAAAGAATGTTGCAACCTGACGCTGCTTATTTCTTCCTATATCATCTCAATGAAGGTCAGTCATTGCAAAAATGATAAGACATGAATCTGGGACTGAGAAATATTCCAGTTTTGTTAGGAAATACTTAGAAAATGTTATAGACTCTCCATCATTTGTCCATAGACTTTGTACACAACCGCTGAAGTAGGGTCACATTGCGACATTCTTTCCAAAACGAAAAATACTGTTGTGATAGGTGGTAATAAATAATCTTTTGGTCGGTTGTTGGATGATTTTTTCATTTTTTTTTTTTTTCATTTTTTTTTTTTTCAAGGATTGGCCGTGATCACTTCAGCACATGGTTCGCATCTCCGGAGTTTGACATCGCCAGAAACACCATGGACCTGATCCAATCCCAGACGTACACATGGTGAGATCTCGTCAGATTAACTGGACTTGAGCTTGTCTCGACAGTGTACTCAATGCACGGTGTTGGAGCCTCGGTTTATTCCGTTCAGATACAAAAAGCACTTCAAAATTTCCACAGTTTCTTGCCCTTCAGCTGTTAGATGTTTCCTTTAAAAAATGATTGCTCATTGACAGTATCAAACGCCCCCCCCCCCTAAAAAAAAAAGATTGCATTGTCAAGATTTAGTGATTTTGGCGAAGTACTTGTTTTCACAAAAGACTTGAAAAATCTAACTGAAATAAAGTTGCATTTTAGTGACTGAGGTTTGCTTTTACGAGCAATGAAACTTACCTTGTGTTTGTTGTTGGATGTTACTGTATTCAGCATGCTTCAAATTTTCCTGGTGTACAATTTTGTGGGTAGACCATATAAAGGTCGTGCAGGTTGCCCAGATGTCAAGTGTCAAAGGTCACACCTGTTTGTTTGTTTGTTTGTGTATTATCCCCCAGGATTGGCATGTTCTTTGCTCCTCTCCTGATGATCATCTGCATCATCAAGCTTATCCTCCTCTTCTACATCAAACAGGTAGTTTCTCCACACTGTCGCCCCCCCCCCCCCCCCCCCCCCGGAAATTTGACATCCGGAGAAAAGCACAGCCGTATGAGTTACCATGATTAGCGGGAAGAACATAATGTCCCTTTTCCATATCCCTTGATGCATATTTTTCACCACAACCCTTTGTTTTCACGAGTGGCTTGTTTATTTTAATGTCCGTGTAAAGCGAATAGTGGTATTTATTGTCTTAACAATAACCAGGGTATGGGAAGATGGTGTCTAAACCCCCCCCCCCCCCCCCCCCATTTGGGCTTACGGAGGTTGGGTGTGCGATGAAAACAAACCTGTCTACCGTTCAGCACAGATGAAATTTTTGGGTGCCCCTCCATTGTAACCACAAGCCCCCCACACCCCCCCCCCCCCAGGATGAGAACCTTGGCTGCATCGCTGCTCCTGAGAGGAACACACCTGAGTGTTGGCCCAAAAAAAATGGACTTCGGGTCCAGAAAAGCTTGAACCATATCAACATGCTCTCATAAGTGGCTTCGTATTATTACAATTTGAGAAGTAGCTGAAAGTGGAATCAATGTTGAGTCTATGTCACCAACAAATAAAACTTGACGTGGTTTCGAAAACCGTCATGGGTAAATTTGAAGTGTGCAGTTGCGTTGCATTGCGGGATAGGTCGTGCTATAACAAATGGGGATTTTTTGTAGCGGCGTTACCCAAAACTGCCCGAAATGCAGTGCAATATATACACACCTTCACTGCACATTTCTGGGGTATGTTTTGGCGGTCACAACCAAAAAACGGGTTCAGTTGTTCGTCATTGGTTGATACGTTTGAAAACTTGGTTGTGATGTAATAATAATTGAGTTACCCGCACTACTTAAGTTGCAAAAAGCTAAACCCATGAGAAAGATCCGAAACCAGTTTTTGGTTACGACTGCCAAAACTTGCCCCTTGGTCTGGCAGCTTTTCCTAATAAAGGGAGTATACAACATTTGCAAACATCCAAAAACAAAACTACCAAATTATTATGAAATACCTTACTGGACTGTTAGTGCATGACAGTCTAAAGCATCCTGTAAAATCATGGCACCTGGTGGCTGTCATTTTCAGGAAAAGTGGTATTTTTGTATCAATTTCCGGCCGACCAGCATTGGAAAAAAAACTGTTTTTTTTTTCAAATACTGCCTCCAATTTACCATATTTAGTTAGTCCGCATTTGTTTGCAATGGATTACACACCTATGAACGGGTGCAAGCCAGCTAGACTGGTTCCCTGACCTTACACTTCCCTGACGTCTATAAATTGGTCCATTTCATCTTAAGTGGGGTCAGGGAACCAGACTACAAAAACATGATTGTTTATCTTGGTTTTTCCAGCATCTACGAACACAGATCTTCTAACAAGTCAGTGCAACAATAAATTTGCTATAAAATACTAACGCCCCAAATCCATCCATTTCTGAAAATTACAGCAAAAGCAAATGTTGTATATTCCCTTTGAAGGAGTTTACTGTTGCCAATATTCAGTTTGTGACTTTCCTGGTTGTAATAGTGTTTGGCTTTTGACGCTAGGTGAGCGTGTTGTACAACTGCAAGCCATCCCTTCATCCGTGGCGCGTCGGCATTGCACAGACACTCTTCTTCATCATCCTCTTCCTCATGTATGCAATCTGTGTCATCTCAGTGGGATACAGCTTCGTCAGGTATGTACCCCTTGGAGATCGATGTCACAAGGCAAATTCAAAATTTGGCAGGCTAACAAAAACTGTTAAGAAAAAAAAAGTTTTGTATTCCCCCCCCCCCATGGGTCAAAACTTGCCTTTTTTCACGTAATGGAATCCCTGTTTATTTCTTTGGCTCTCATTTCTGACTGACCCTATTTTGGACTCCCGACCCTCTCTGGAACCCCATTAACCCAAAAAAATCATATTCTCATATAATAATAATAATAATAATAATTTGGGAGGCTAATCATCCTTACTCGCAGCTGGGATGCTGAATTGCGAAGGACGCGGCTACAACGTGGTTGAGCCGCTGGCACGTAAAGGCGCCTACGGCTGCCGGCCACATCGACCCATATATGACCACGGAGCACAGCCTGAGATCGAAAGTGTTTGATTTTTCCGGAGGGAGGAAAACCGGAGGGCCCGGAGAAAAACCCACGTGGCACAGGAGAGAACCAACGCACAACTCTACTCACATGCGATCCGCGGCCAGGCCGGGATCCGCGGCCAGGATTCGAACCGTGGTCACCTTCGTGAGAGGCGAGCGCTTTACGCACAAGCCAACCGTGCCACCCTGAATATTCGGTGTCTATAGTATACCTGTACTGGTATGTCATGGCTGCCAAAACGTTAGTGAGCTACTTAATGCGGATATGTCAACTACATCTTGCCAAATATTGTCTTATTATTTTACTCAGCGATATCAACTCATGATAAAGTCATTGCAGTAAACAAAACTCGAGACAATATGCAGTTGGCATCATATAATTTAGCCATCCATACTGGTGCAACTGCAACTGTTTTCTTCAGGTTTTTATTTTTTTTCAAATGACCGACCGTAATGCAGAGGCAAAAAAAATAAAAATATGAGAACCATAGAAATGAAAAGGGACGCCCTAATTCAAAAGATTATACTGTTTTTTCCCCAGAGCTTTCTAAAAAAAGTTCAAACTTCTGAAAATCGGTTCAAGAAACACTTTTGTGAGGCATGGGTGGCTAGTGCGTAAAGTGCTCGCTTCTCACCACTGTGGCCCTGATTCGTATCCTGTCCGCGGGCCATACATATTTTGTACATGCCATATGTGAGTAGAGCTGTGCGTTGGTTCTCTCCTGTGCCACGAGAGGTTTTCTCCGGGCCCTCCGGTTTTCCTCCCTCCGAAACAAATCAAACACTTTCGATCTTTGGCTGTGCTCTGTGGTCATGGGTGGTGTGGCTGGCTGCCAAAGTTGCCTTTACATGCCTGCGGCTCGACCACGTTGTAGCCTTATCCTTCACAGCTTCTCAGCTGCGAGTAAGGATGATTAGCCCCCAAATTATTATTATTATTATAAAAAAGGGAAAGGGGATTGAGGGTTGATTGAACTGAGGAATAATCGAAGTGAATTTGACCGTCTCCTTACAGCATCCAACCCTCACCGGAGTGTGGTCCATTCAGGGGCCTGGATTCCGTCTACGACGTGGTCACTGAGCTGGTCAACCAATGGGAAGAGACCCAGGCAGTGTGGAACTTCATCATCACCTTCCTGACCACCCAGGGCGTGGTGGCTGCCATTATTACTCTACTCTGGTAAGTCGGACGTGCAGTAAAATGGATGATCTTTTCAGTTCACTGCAGTCTCCTAATGACAGTCGTGATTGAGAGCCGCGTTCTCATTGGTCCATTCACCATCACGTGCCAGCTGATGCTTCTGCTGTTTACCAAGTGCACACGCGAGGTTTCATGCGCGGTTTCACGCGCGTCTTCACGTGCAGGGTTAATACGCAAGCGTAGTAGACTTCCACACGGGATACCCATGGAGTAGTCTACTTCGCATGCGTTTTCCAGAGCAGTTGTGGAAAAACGCACGGGTAGGGGCCTATCCACCTCACCGGCAAAATAAGTACAGTTGGGGGTGACCGAACGACGCCATCTTGCCTGACTGCAATATTTTGCCGCGAAGCGCGGCCACTGCGTGTTCGTAGTACAAATCCCCCGGTGTACGTGCGTCACACACAAGGAACGGTGCGCATCAACCAGCGAAATGTCCTGCCCATGGGACGTCGTTGTTAGGTGAAAGGGCGCCCTCTTTTGGTAGCGCACGGAGCCCATAGTGCGCACGTAGTACAAATCCCCCGGTGTATACGTCTGTCAAACTCAAGGAACGGTGTGCGCGCGTCAATCAGTGAAATGTATGTGGCCCGCCCATGGGACGTCGTCGTTAGGTAAAAGGGCGCCCTCTTTCGTTAGCGCACGGAGCCCATAGTGCGCACGGGTATAGTGCGCACTTGGCGAACATCACCCCAGTGGCATTAAAGGACGTGGGCACACCCACAGTAATGTTTGGTTAAGGTAACTGAGGCATAACTTGATGAAACTTTGGTGACGGTGCATGAGGTATTGTTAAACAAATCAATCACTGTTGATTTCAGGTGGATAGTCGATCTCAGCTCCCCGGGGTACTGGAAGTTGACAAATTTGCCGCAGGAACTAGTTTGCCTACTTCCAGTAGTTAAGCAGGGTTCGAAATTAGCGGTTGCCCGCTAGCCAAATGCTAGTCAAAACAGCGGCGGCCTAGTCAAACTATTCCTTAAGTAGCCCAGCTGGCAAGTCAAAATATTATTGGGCTACGGCAAAGATGAACGGACAGGAAGAAATAAATCAATAAATTCAGAAAGAAAACCCCATCAATTTGTGTCTAATTTTATCAACTGTTTTAAAGGGTTTAATTATTAGATCTGTTAATCAAAAACACTGACAAAATTTCCTCAGAATTGAGCCTGAAAATACGCATTTTGTATTTGAGATAAGAAAAAAAATTGCGGGCTAGTGAAAATGCCGGCGGGCTAGTTAAGAGTCCGTTTCAGTAGCCCGGCTGGCTAGTGAACAAAAAAGTTAAGGTCGAACCCTGTTTAATAAGTGCTTGCGAATTCCCTGTGAAATTTTGCTGACGTTTTGGGTTCAGTAGTTGGCAGAGATTCATTCCTTGTGGTATTATAAGCAGATCCGAGAAATTTGATGTGTTTTTTTTTTTTCAATTCAATTTTGCGTAGCTCAGAAATGACAGTGATCCACTCAGCAATACCATGGAATTTGGCCGCGGTGTTATATGTGCAGAGTTGTAATGACTCGAGTCAATGACTCGACTCGAGTCCGACTCCAGTCACATTTTTTGGTGACTCGACTCGAGTCCCTGAGGGTAAATGACTCGACTCGAGTCACTGCGAGCAATTGACTTGACTCGACTCGAGTCCCTCATCAGAAGACTCGACTCGAGCAAAGGCTAATAAGACTCGAGTCCCAAAAATAAAAGCAAAACTTTGCGAAAAGTATTTGCAATGACTTACGGTGCAAAATTTTATGCTCACTTCGTTTTGCGAATAGCAGTCATGTATAAATATACAACGTGTCACAGACTCCCACCTCATGGTTCTAGAACGCACAAAATACTATCCAGGAACCAGATTTTTAAACACATTTTCTAATTCGCTGTTTCATCATTGGCTATGGGCAATTTCTTATAAAGCTCTTGGATTCGAACGCTGGTTAAACTTATGGCATTCTTTTATAAATTTTGGTATATAGTGTTCAAATATTCGACTCGACTCGACTCAACCTTTTGACCTAATGACTCGACTCGACTCGAGTCACTTCTTTAAAATGACTCGACTCGACTCGACTCGAGTCACAAAAATCAGTGACTCGTTACAACTCTGTATATGTGAATGGTTTGGGCCAAGTACCATGTCGTAACAACGTATAGCAATGCATTGTTTATAACGGTGTTTTGTTTACACTGATGATGTACTGATGCTTCATCCAACAGCTTAGCTGTCTACTACTACAGAACAGTCACCCAGGGCCGGCAGAAAACGGTCAAACGACTCAAGCAACAAATAGCACTGGTAAGTCCCTCATTCATATTTTTTAACACTTGACAGGATTATTTTTGGCTGAAAAACACCAGTTTTAAAAGCGGCAAAGTGTATCGGCAAATTGTTAAAATTAAATCAAAAACTCACATTTTGTGACCTTCATCGTGAAACTCGGACAAAGTCGCACCGATCCTACGCAAACAGTGCGTACAGTCATTCCACGGAAGAATCATCCATTTGGGATTTTGGGGTGACCGTATGACTTTAATTTTGATCTATCATTGTATTCTAAGGAAGAAATTAAATTTGTTAAAGTACAATACTTTTTTCCCCATTTTCGAGGCAATGTCGGTGAAGAAAAGTAGCGTGGACTGAAACAAAATCTGGCAACTCACCGTAAAGTTCCGACAAAAAGTCACTTTCGCACAAAGCGTACAACTCCCCCCCCCCCTGAAAGTTTGGTATCACCGTAAGGCTCGTGGCTTGCAAATTTGATTTTCATTGATAAATTTAGTGCCAGGTGTACAATCCAAGGATACCATTATGTAATGGCAGAATGTTTTCAAAGGGTATTAGGAACCAATCCCATCTTTACTTTGAGCAAGGATCTTCTTGTTAAATCCTTAGGTACATGTCCGGGTAATTGCAAAATGTTCCTACATGCCTTTAACTACGTCGCGTCAGGTGACGTGTTAACAAGATCTGGCTGTTTGTATGTATCAGGCGCGGCTGACGGGTTAAAACGTCAAGCGTGTCTCGACTCGCCTCCGCATGAGGTCTAAACACGCTAATCCCCCAGTTGTTTTGTACACACATAAATTCCGAGACGTCTGTGGAGGTAGACCATGTGTTGTACTTGAACTTGCCCTGTCGTGGTACAATTTACGCTCCGTGGGCACACCCGGGAGTGTAGAAAAAAATATGAAGTTGCGGTAAGGAATATCGTACAAATACTGTTGAAATGACTCTTGCGAATCAGTATTTGTGACAATTTGCTGTACATCATAAGTCGGCTGCTACATCTTGCCTTTTTCAAAAAAAATCGAAATTTTCGGCAAAAATAATCCCGGTGTGAATAATAATAATAATAATAGCAGGTTCTTATAAAGCGCACATATCCTAACAAAGCTATATAGATCAAGGCACTTGACAAAATATTACAAAAAATTAATGAGCAATGAATAGCTCTGTCTTCAAACATTTCCGAAATGTTGTCACTGAGTCAGACTGGCAGATTTCTTGAGGGAGTTTGTTCCACAGATGGGGGCCAGAATAGCCAAAGGCACCCTGGCCGATCGATTTGTTACATATGGGGGTGGTAAGTATTGTTGAGTCTTGTAGTTTACAGAGTCGGCTGGCGCGGTGGTAGAAGGTGAAGAGATTGTTTAGGTAGACGGTTTAGGTAGACGGCGAAGTGGTTAAACAAAGTGTAACCAACTTTTTTTTCGCGTCGTTTTTTGTCTGATTTTTATCAGGAGGGTAAGGACAAGTTGTTCTTGCTCAGGATGCTGCAGAACGCCATCCGGAATCACAACTCGCTGCGCCAGGCTGGGGGCTCCTCTACCGATGCAGCAGCAGCGGCAGCAGCGGCCATTCCACCGCCCATGCGCAAGGCCAAGAAGACGCACGCCAAGGTGCGCGGAGGGATACACACCGCCCTCTCCCCGAAGGTCCAAGATGCGGTGGATAGCGCAGACATCATTATACACGGATCTTGAAAATGAAGGTTGTATTTTTATTGGAATGACTGCATCTGAATAAATCTTGTTGACATTCACATTGCATCATCGGTATGGATGACAAACAAGCAGTGCAGTTTATGCACAAACCTACGGGGGCAGTGAACCAGTCAAGCTTTAAATTATTTTTTTCTTCAGTATTTTCCAAAGTTAAGTGATCATCGATTCACCTGTTAATGTATAGAATATGAGAAACATAATTTGTACATAAAATTCAGTTTTCAAGCTTTAGAAACAAAAGAAGAAATGTGACCTGCTGAGGCAAAATGAGGAATGTCCTCCAAAACCTTGTTTTGAGTAATCGATGCCTGAAGTCAGATACTAGAAAAAATCATGTCCAAATCCATTTCGGTCTTTTTTTTTGTAGTTTTGAGTAGCCAAGGTATCCAACATTTTTACCAAAATTGGCGGCCCGATGCGTATCTTTTTTTTTCAAAGCCGTTTTTCTTGATTCTTTGGAATAAATTTGGTATCATTGGAAAGCCAATGAATCACGCTTTAACATGATGTATGAACATATGAAAAGTCAAAGATGGGGGTTATTCCTCATTATGCTATGGCGGGTCACAAATAATCTAGAAACTTCTTTCCCGGTACCGGTTATTGGGCCCGGAGGAAAGGTTGTGATTGGTCAATGTTGGAGGTGTGAGCTTGAAATCTTGATTCTGATTGGCCAGTATTGGCAGGGTCATAATACTCATGAGTAATGAAACCAATATCTAAAAAAGAGATTACCCAAAGCTTTCTCCATTCTAATAAGCTTTAAAAAATGATTTTAAAACTATTGATATTTCAAATTACCAATGCAATAATGTGTGAAAAGATGATCAAATTCTTGATATTTACAATGAGGAATCGTATGAAACTGAACTGGTTCACGGTCCCATTGGTTTGTGCGCATATTTCCTGGTTTTGTTTGTCATCCGCACTCAAGATGCATTGAGGTTTACTTAGCCCTTGCTGGTGGTAACACACGGTGTCTACGGGAAGTGGCTACGACTCTTTCCATAGGCTCATGCACAATTGCAAGCCCTAGTCAAGTTAGTCAGACGTAGCCAACGTCTGACGTTCATTACCTCCAGAATCTGGTCAGCCTTGGCTCTGAATAGCGCCCCCGTGTGGTTGGATCTCGGTACGGTGTTATTTAGGGGGCATTAGGCCTGTTTATATTTTGTCAAACTGTATGAGCCAAAAAAACAAAAAAAACACTCTGCAATTTCATGAATTCTTGATCCCAAAACAGATTGAGCAGAATGACAGTTGTATATTCAGTAATTTGGGAATGCTAATTTCATATTTGGTTTTAAGGAACGCATTTTTGACCTGGCAAGTCGGCCGTTCTATTTTCCATGGCAGGATTTTGTAATTAACCCTATTAATTTTGTCGAAAGTGATTTTAGTATTAATTTTATTTGAACCTAGTTCTTTTAAGACCTTTTATAGTTACGAATCTACCCAGTTTAGCTTAATAATTATACTACAATCGATCATCCATTGCTTTGTATTACATTTACTTCGTTTTATCTTGGTTTTTAAATATCATTTTTGTTTCAATTTTACAATATTTTATCCCACTGATAAGCATGTTTGTTTACTTATTTTGCTTTTGGCGACGACTGGACTGTGAAAAAAAAAACACCTGTTCTTAAGCTTTGGGAAGTATAGCTGACAGACCATAGCTGTGCAAGTATTATACTTAAAATTCACGTCACAAAGTTAGGTTGTCAAGGAAAATGTGTCTAAAGATTCCTGCTAACAGATATTTTGGGAACCCTTTCGCTGGAAATTCTCTGTTGCCTCCAGTGCTTTTGGCAGTGTTTTTTGAAGGACATTTATTGACCAAGTTATTCCTCCATGGTCAGACCTGCTTTTATGTGTTGCTGCCAGTGTGATACAGAAAACTGCATACCGTGGAACGCCGCTAAAACGAACACCTACAGAAATTGTTCCGATCGTTCGGTAGAGCGATTTTGAGCTGCTGGTGCTCCAGTACTCACTTTTCAATAAATGGCGCCCTCCAGAACTTCACCCCGCACGCCCTGGTAGTTACTGAAAGACCACTTTGAACATGTGCCGACTATTGAATTATGTAATTACACAGTTCTTGAGCTTACTACCTACAGCGATGGGTGGCTTTCCCCTTCTATGCCTTGGGGAAATAATAGCCACTTGTCGCTCTTCTGTTGACATATTCCAACAACAATGTGCGGTACGTTTTTGTTCACAAAAATCTGAAGCCAAGCACGATGTTCGGTACAGCGGAATGTTCGGTATAGCGGTGTTCGGTATAGCGACGTTCCACTTTTATGATTCTAGCTGGTTGCGTCCTTGGAGTAGCATGGTGGCCATGTGCCTGACTATCGAATAAGTTCAGGTTCCAGACTAGCGCCCTAATCAAAATAATGGCATTTACCAAACTCTGATTTTTGTCTCCAGCTTCGGCTTTATCGCTGGCTCAAGATTCATTAATAGTCTTCCACATTCAAACCCGATGCAAACCAACCGTTGTCCTTACGTGATAGGATTTGACCAGAAAAGTGGCCAGCATTGCACTGCAGTCTGTCCACATAAGATTCTAAAGCTGGAGCTTGAATCCAAAGCTGGAGTCAAGCCAAAATCTTGTAAGAGTCTGTGGAGATTGTTTTTGGATATACTTGTCGTGCCTGTTGAAGTGAAAAGTCACTGAATTATGGCTTGATAGCTTGAGGCCCGTCTCGATATATATCCAGGACGAGTCGGACAAGTTGCGGGTAGAATTTGCCCGGAGTAAAACTCTGCATTTGTCCCGGACAGATTCCCGAGAAATTTTCTTTAGCAACTGCTTGACTCGCCGATACTGATGACTACATTGCGGGAAGATTGCGGGGAAGTTGTTCTGAATCCTGCAACTTATACCCGATAAAATGTCCGGAACTGGTCCGGAACTCCCGGATGTGAATTGAGACGGGCCGTTATTGTCGGTGTTTACTTTTCTGTTGTTCAAGTTGAACTGTAATTTTGAGTGTGTGTGAGAATGCAATCCCACTGACTTGATATTAAAAGTAAGTTTGATTTTTAACCAAAAAGAACTGAAATTTAAGTAAATTGCGTGATCTCAGAAATATAATTGAATACTACGGGGATCAAATCCTTATATCAGGAACAAATCATCCAAAGATTTGTATTATGCATATTTGTACAATAGAAGTCTTTATATTAACTAAATCGTTAAAAGCATTAACTCCTAAAACTTTGATTGCATCCATAAATCGGATTTCAAACTCACTTTGTTTGAATATACAAAAGTATATAACTGCTGCATATAGCACTCTTAATTACTTCTATTAGTGTGTAATAATGGTCATCTTCTTTATTGTGATACATTGTGTATATATATATAGCAACATCAATTGCGAAGGGTTCAGTTATTTTAGTATGGTGTTAATAGTTGGATGACAGTAATCATAATTTATTATCCAGTTTAATTTTAGCTCTTTATATTATCAATCACACAACTTAATTATGCAACGGCTGTTTCATAGTCGGATATAGTGTATGTTGGTGCATTGAGTTCCTAGTATTCCGAGCAGTTGTACAAAATGTGTATATTTATTACTCTGATTCCTTACATACTTATCAGCACATAAAGGCACTTGAAGATGCTATCTGAGAGGCTATACTACTGAATTATTGTGAGGGCATTTTATAAATTAAAAATAAAGGGTGAGTAAAAAAAAAGAAAAGAAACACAAATGTCGGGGCTATTGTCTTAGTGAAGTTCTGCATGTAGCACTTTCAAAATCGGGGATATGAAAGCCCAATTCATAAACTTTCTTTTAGTACAAGAATCATTCAAATCACTCATGTACTTTTCAAGTTACGGAATTTTAAACACAATAACTTTTTTAAAGTTCTGTCCACGGATCACAAAAAAGGTGTGCGTTCTTTCAGAAAAACAGACACAGTTTTCGTTTTGCTGAAAGAACAGTCTTAACCCTGATGTGATCCGTGGACAGAACTTTAAAATGGTGGTGGTGTTTAAAATTCCGTAACTTGAACATTACATGAGTGATTTAAATGATTCTTGTACTATAAGAAAGCTTATAAATTGGGCTGTCATATCCTAGATTTTGAAAGTGCTACATGGAGAACTCACTAAAACAATGGTCCCGACATTTGGGTTTCGTGGTGTTTTTATTTTACTCGCCCTATATTCTATCTAAGTGATTTGACAAATGTTGGCTGTTATTATAGAGCAATAAGAAGTTTTAAAAAGAGGCAATTTTAAGATTCCAATATCCACATTTACAGTACACCCTAATGATGAGTTTTTCACCGATCTAGGATTATATTCATCATTCTTTAATATGGTTGGGAATGCATACATGTAGTTATTTCTGCTAGTACATCTTCATAAAATCAACGGTGCCGCGAAAAAAAATATGACCATGCTCTTTTGTACAAATCAAATCCATGTTTAAACCAGTGAACAAATAGGTCACAAAATATCTTAATTTTAGTTTATTTTAGTACCAAAAAAAAAAAAGTTGACTTTTACCACCAATATTGTGTCTCAGAGTTAAACTAATAAGACTTCAATTACATGATTTAAATTACCTCAACAAACTACAGGTGCAACATCGAAATTGATATTTTTCTAAAGAGCATTTTGCAAAATAGTTTTGTATGCTTGCATGAAATTACTAATTATACGAAAGTCAGTGTAAAGTGCGGCAGTGGAAAGCCAGTTAAAACGTTTCTACACCACTGCTGGATAATGAAAGGAGTGAATAACGTACACATAACAAAAAATACTATTGTAATTCTTACGAACTTGGGTGATGGTATTTTTTTGGTAAACATGTACAACGGTATTTCGATATATTCTATGCAAATTGAATCATGCACTCTATTTTAGTATTTTATCTCAGTCATTTTTTGTTGTAATAAAGTGTACTGATGTAAAGAAAAGGAACTATATTTTGTGGAATCGGAGACATTCATCGAATAAAATGGCAGTCATATTGAAGAAATCTGGGCATGTTTAAGAAATCCGTCATTTTTGTGGCATGCGCATTGTGGTCAGAGACTAGACTTTACTGCAGGGGGGAAACTAATTAGCTACATGGATTGGTCTACACACACGGCTTATTTTAAGCACTGAATTTAGGCCTACTATTGGAGTTTTTCTGTACAAGTTATGAACCCAAGTGTAGCTGAATGCAGCAATGTCTGGATTAAGATTGATGATCACTCGAAAGAGAATCCACGACAACAGACTTTGTATAGCCATCTTTCATTCAATGGTACCCGTACAGCAAAGACTGTGGCCGGACCCTTGAACAACTCTTTCTAGAATTAGGCGGCATTCAAACCTTTCTTTGGTGACACATCAAAATAGCTGGACAGTCACTGTGCTGTGGTTAGAATATAATCCCTTCCAGTCAAGAGCCAATACATAAATGTCAAAGCCGTTTTGGTGCAAGTAAAGACACGCCCTTTGCTGTAACATCTGTGAGTCGCTGACGAAGCGCCCGTTTGCGTTGGCTTGCATACATCGTACGGGAGGCTGAACAATCTTCTTGCAGACAGGATACTTGGTGTGTCTTTTGCAGGACCCCGACCCCCACTTCCCTTCACCCTTTATGAGAAACCTCACACACTGTTTGTATCCATTCATTTTGGGGTGGCCCGGTGCCCAGTTGTAGAACTTGAGTTCCTCAGTGCCACCGGAGCACACGAGTTCTCCATCAGTAGACACACGGTAGCAGCCAAGCCAAAGCCCGCGCTCGGGCATAACCCTTGGCGCAGATCGTTCCACTACCATTTGCCAGACGAAGTCATTCTCAGCCCGAGAATGAGGTACGACCAGGCTGCTGCCTCTGTCTTGGCAGAAGTTATCGGCTTCCGTCCAAGACATGGGTTCTTGGAAAAATCCGTAGCATGCTTGGTTCCACTGCTTCCAGCCCGAAGGACAGGCACCCACCCCAGTCGAAAATACTGCCACGCCGAGCGCAAATGTCATCAGAAACTCACACCGACCTGCCATCTTTCTCAGTGTGGAGAAGTTTAGTCTCAGTGGTATCGAGCAGTTTCTTTACCCGCGTTTGTTTGATGTCTGAGCGGTTTGAATGAAGTTCGTGCAGCTTCAAATCAGTTCAGATAGTGTGTACAGTTGTACAGGTATATGGTGTTGAATAATCACAGAGGGAATTTGGCCGTGTAGGCCTATAAAATTGCACCAATTTAGCCTCGGCCTTAGTTCTTCTTGCTGAATAATATTATTGCATCGTACGATTCGTCATATATAGCTTTTGTTGTTGCTACAGCTAATTCCCGCACGTACACGCAGGTTCACATGGCAACGGGGAAGAAAACAAATATGCTAGATTTAATTTTCTGCATCAGCAGTTATTGAAGTCTAACCACGGATCCTAGACACCAGGATAAACGACTGTTCTGAGCTCCAGTACAAAATGCACTCAGTGGACTTGCCTTAATTGGTTAGACGCGTGATAACGGGCATTAACATCCGTTGGCGCGTAATCACGAATTTTCAAGATGTGCCATTGTGTTGGGTTTTTGCACGACATCTAAAACGGAAATATTCATAAAACTGTAAGTAAAACTACTTCTTATTTAAGATATAATTGTTCCAAATTATTTTAAAAATAAATACTTCAGGATATAACAGATGGTATTGTGCAGTTTTTGTCGTCATAGATGAAGTATTTACCCGGGAAACTAACGTCAAATTTCGTGGAGAACACCGTTTACCAAAATTTCGTTTTTAATTAGGCTTTTATTAAAAAGTTTTAGAGAGATATAGGATGCCGAACCGATGAAACAAAAGCGACATTTCATTGTTCATCTTAAAGCTAAAGATATTGTGCTCGGCATTGCCATGATTATAAAGTTGTCACTTATCAGAATTCAATAATAAAGACCAAAAAAGTAGACTCATGAATATTCAAAAATATAATTCGCTGGCTTGACAGACTTCGAGGCCAGATCGGGCGAAGAGCCTTGCAAATCTGAAAGCCACCGCGCGCAGTGGTCTTTGTTGACAAGTATTCGTGGTATTTGCCACCAGTACTGGCCGTTATCACTATGGCGTGTCAAACGTTGCAATATTCAATATTTTGCAATATATATGTTGGATGTTCAATATGTGTTTGTTATCTTTTACATTTATGTGCGATGTTCAATATAAGTGTGAGATGTTTTTCATTATTTGCGCGATGTTTAATATATTTGTGCAAAGTTTTACAATTTATGTGCAATGTTCAATATGTGTGGGATTTTTTACATTTATATGCGATTTTCAATTTATATGTGCGATGTTTTTGACGATATATATGTGCGATGTTTTCAATATTATGTTCGATTTTTTGCATTAAATGTGCGATGTTTTTCGATACAATTGTGTGTGTTGTTTTACAATATATTTGCAATATTGTCAAATATGTGAGCAATGTTTTACACATATGTTTGACACTTCGAGCTATTTGTATTCGATGTTCCATCGGTATGTTTGCATTCGATCTTTCGCAATATGCATTTGATGTTTCCCTTTTCATTCGATGTTTCGTTAAGAGTCAAAGTCTGGTTACTAGACCGCGAAAGTCTGATTATTTTGCCTAAAGTCAGTGTATGAGACGTCAGGGGATCGCGTAATAAATTGAAAGGGGTTAACCTCGCATTTTTTTTATAGAGAAAATGGGACAAAATCAAATGTTTTTGAAAAATTGCAGATTGTAAGGGGTTAACCTTGCTTTTTGAATAAGATTGGGAAAAATTAGATGTCCATGAAAAAATTCAAATTGTAAGGGGTTAACCTTGCATTTTTTTTTAGCAAAAAAGGACACAATCAGATGATTCTGGAAAATTGCAGATTGTTAGGGCTGAACCTTGTATTTCTAGCAAAATTGGGCAAAAAGAAATGTTTATGAAAATTTTTAAATTGTAAGAGGTGTACCTTGTATATTTAGTAAAATTTGGCAAAATCAGATTTGTATGAAAAATCTAAAATGGTAAGGGGTTAACCTTGCTTTTTTGGCAAAATTGGGAGCATATTTTACTAAAATTGGGCAAAATCAGATGCTTCTAAAAAAATCCAGATGTAAAGTTTCCGCAAAAACAGTTGCTGAAAAAGAGCCCAATGTTGAACTTTACTGAGTCTGAGGTCTATCGAGGGGACGATCCTTATTTCAACTTCCGGAGATTCGCTGACGGTCTCTATTTTTCTTTTTAAGAAAGTCGAAATAGCTGAAGAGGGAGGTGAGAATCTATATGTGCCCAGATACAAAGAGTAGAAATCTACGCGTCTGCCTTTTGAAAAGTGTTCATTGTTGCGTAATGATCCGCCAAGCACACGACTGTTTTGCACATTAGGCTGTGTTATGCAGCTTCCTAACAAACCAAACACACTGGGCTTATTATATCGACTTGTTTGTACCCATTAAGGTAAAGCAAATGGACCCAGTAATCTTCCTGGCGCGTTTGCTCAACTATAAAGACAACTTTTCTCAGTTTAAGGAAAAATTCTAAGGTAACGAAATGGCCGAGTGGTTACGATTCGTCGTCCACGGTTAGCAGGGTCCCGGGTTCGAATCCCGCTGGTGTCTTTTTGGTTTTTAACGTATGAGTTTAATTATTCACTATAAGAGATTTAATTTCCCGTCGTAAAGTACCAACAGTACCTTAGCTTAATTGGTAAGCACTGCTGCTGGTACTGTCCGCGAGTTCCAGGTTGGCGCCTTCGTACAGGTTCAGGGCATGTGGTCCACTCGGAGGATCAGGGTTTAGGGGCCGCCCTGTTCCTCCCTTAGCTCTTTGCTTTTACATGGTGCCTGGCCCTCCGGGGTTATATGGATGGATAGGGAAGGAAGTGTGTATTGGTCGGGGACGCCGAGACCCCGGAAGAGAACTAAGGGATCGGCTGGGGCATTGTTATGGCCCAGACCGATCCCTGAAAGCTTGACTAGCACATAACTTTTTGATTTTTTTTTACCCTCTATCTTTTATACTTTCGTATAGTTTGATATCTGCTGCTCGGCAGGTCTACGGGTAGTATCAAAATTGAAACAAAGGTGTATGTCATAAATCAATGAATATTTCAAAATTGACTATCATTATTTAATGACGCGATTGCCAATTTACGTAAGAAACGCTATAAATTATACCGGGAAAGAATAAAGATGTACATTGTAATATAAATATTATTTATACATCTTTCAAATAACGTGTCTTTAATTGTGAGCATTCCAAACAATTCATTTTTTTGGCAATAGTAATAGAATGGTATACGATAGCACGATCAATGCGTCTCTATTTAATTTAAAAAGATATAATTTAGGCCCCTATGTGTGAAATATTCTTTGATTGACTATGAGCATTCCATACGATTGAGTTAATTCGCAAAATATAGCAACAACAAAAGAGAAAGAAAAAAGAGAAAATTCCTTTACCCTCACAACTGGAAATATAATTTGTTTTAAAAATGTCAAATGGGACACTTCATGTATTGATTTAACAGTTTGCAAGGAGTTAGCCTTACAGTTTTAGCAAAAATTGGGAAAAATCAGATGTTTCTGGACAATTGCAGCTTGTAAGGGGTTAACCTTGCATTTTTAGTAAAATTGAGATGTTTATGAAACATTTCAAATTGTAAGGGGTGAACCTTGCATTTTTTAGCGAAATTTGGCAAAATCAGATCTTTCTGAAAAATTTCAAATTGTCAGTGGTTAACCTTGCATTTTTAGCAAAATAGGGCAAATCAGGTGTTTATGGAAAACTTCAGATTGTAAGGGGTTAACTTTGCAGTTTTAGCAAAATTGGGCAAAATCAGATTTGTATGAAAAATCTAAAATTGTAAGGGGTTAACCTTGCCAAATTAGGGCAAAATCAGATGTTTCTGGAAAACTGCAGATTAAAAGGGGTTTACCTTGCCTTTTTAAGCAAAATTGGAAAAAATCAGATATTTCTTGAAAATTGAGGATTGTAAGGGGTTAACTTGGCATTTTAAGCATAACTGGGCAATATCAGATTTATATGAAAAATCTCAAATTGTAAGGGGTGAACCTTGTATTTTAAGCGGAAACTTTACATCTGGATTTTTAATCTGATTTAGCCCAATTTTAGTAAAATATGCTCCCAATTTTGCTAAAAAAGCAAGGCTAACCCCTTACCATTTTAGATTTTTCATACAATTTTGATTTTGCCAAATTTTACTAAATATACAAGGTACAACTCTTACAATTTAAAATTTTTCATAAACATTTCTTTTTGCCCAATTTTAACAATCTGCAAGTTTCTGCAAAAGTAAGGTTAATTCCTTACATCTGAATTTTTTTCAAAAAAATCTGATTTTGCGCAATTTTGCTTATATATGCAAGGTTCACCCCTTGCAATTTGAGATTTTTCATAAAAATCGCATTTTGCCCAATTTTGCTTAAAATGCAAGGTTAACCCCTTTCAATCTGCAATTTTCCAGAAACATCTGATTTTGCCCTAATTTGGCAAAGGTTAACCCCTTACAATTTTTGATTTTTCATACAAATCTGATTTTTCCCAATTTTGCTAAAAATGCAAGGTGAACCCTTTTCAACCTGAAACATCTGATTTTGCCCAATTTTGCTAAAAATGCAAGGTTCACCCTTTACAATCTGACATTTTTCATAAACACCCGATTTTGCCCTATTTTGCTAAAAAATGCAAGGTTCACCCGTTACAATTTCAGATTTTTCATAAACATTTAATTTGCCCAATTTTGCTAAAAAAGCAAGGTTAAGCCCTTACAATTTGAAATGTTTCTTTAACATCTTATTTTGCCAAATATCACTAAAAAAGCAAGGTTAATCCCTTACAATCTGAAATTTTCCAGAAAGATCTGATTTTGCCCAATTTAGCTAAAAATAAAAGGTTCATCCCTTACAATTTGAGATTTTTCATATAAATCTGATATTGCCCAGTCGTGCTAAAAATGCCAAGTTAACCCCTTTCAATCTGCAATTTTCCAGAAACATCTAATTTTGCCCTAATTTGGCA